TGGCCGAAGTCGGGAAAATCTGATATGGCACGATGAGATAGAATATGTAAGAGATGCAAATTAAAACAAATTTATCAAGTTGGAGTTTCCTTTAGACCAGTGATTTTCAACCATCAGTCCATGGACCAGTGCCTGTTCATGAAAAAATTTCTTTGATTTGCAGACAAATATTTTACTGCACTGATGCTGGCACAGTTGATTATGGATGACATTTAAATAATAATGTAGATTTTCTATACATACTTTGTTATGTAAAGTAACTAGATAAGAGCATAATAAATAAGCACAGTCACATATAATTACTGAACTGTGTAAAATTATCCATAATTTTACTGTTCTATAAAGAGAAAAAGATTGATAAGCACTGCTTTAGACCATTTCTTTATCAAAAATAAATAAAACAAGCTCCTTGTTTGTTAATCAATTCAATTAACAACCTAGTTGCAGGAACAGAACTTGGTTGTTAAGTGAGGGGTTCCTGTATTAAATAAGTTATAACTTTTTAATAAAAAGTAAAATACTTCACAAATGGATACAAGTTCAATTTTGCTTTGCTTGCCATGTCCAATCACCAGGTACAACTATTTCTGCCAGCCCTTTTCTACAAAGAAATATTATATTTTTTAATTGTGTTGGGATTGTCACCTGCGGACATTTTAAACTGTTTTGCATATTTGTGCAGAGGCATAGCCTCTAAAGAAAGATTGTCTCTGCAATGGAAATAGTTGTTCATGGTGATTAGACATGGCAAGCAAAATTGGACTCATATCCAGATGTATTTTACTTTTTATTAAATTGTAATTCTGCCAGCCCTTTTCTACAAAGTTATAACTTATTTAATAAAGTTATAATAAGTTAATTTAATTACTTTAATTTAACTTATTGTTAAATTAAAGTAATTAATTTAACTTAAAATATTCTGGTAGAAAAGGTCAACCTGGAACTGAGCTTCAAATCTACATTCACAAGCCTTTTACCAAAGAAGTTGCAATATCTATTATTATTGTAATATTATTATTTATATATATATGTATAATGTATAATATTATTTTCTAATATCATACACAATAATTTTTTAAATATTGTGGTTTTAAATTGTTAAACCTCAATGTCTTTTCAATGTGTTGAAAATAATAATCTTCAAGAAAACAAGCAAAACAGAAACAAGTAATACTTGTGCTTGAAGTACAGATTTTATCAGCTTTTACCGGTAGTTGAATAGCACATACCATATTTCTATTCTGAAGACCCATTTCTTTGAATTTTTGCCTCTTTTCATTACAGTATTTGGACAGACCATTTAGTGAGCATAACCCATAGTAACTAGAATATTGAAAAATACTCTCAAGCAAAACAAATATATTTTTATGAAAAAAGTACCTAAAGATTGTAAAAGTTTGGAACTAGTAGTTTTCAATAAAAGTTGATGATGAAAAAGATATGGATTAGAAACTCTCAAATAAGTATCCAGTATAAGTAGCTTATCTTCTTAAAAACTTCATGTCTAGCTTACAGTCAGAAACCTTAGCTAAGTAAGAATGTGCATTTGAATGAGCAAATGAGCTGAGTTGGTTGGTCGGAATAACTTTTTTAGGCACACTTCCAGAACCCAAAACTTCTGTAGCTTCTTGCTGTTGGCTGCATGCACCTTACAAATGTAGAGGCCCTGCAGTCCAGCATTTTTCAGGTGAATAACTGAATCCAATAATGACATTATTGTATTCAAGTAGCATGCACATTTTCTTGTATTTTTTTTTTTTGTTAAATTAAATGGGCTGGGGTAGGTGAATTAAGTCTTTAATGTTGACTCCACAGGAATCTAGTCCACACCCTTTTCATCAATTCTTGACATTTTTTTGATTGAATACTACTAGTCCCAAACTTTAATATCTTTATATACTTTTATCATAAGTGCAAATTCAAATCTGATGTGCTATAAGTATGTAGTTTGCAAAATTGCTGAATTTTTTGCTTTAATAGATAAAGCAACTTTAAAGTTAATGATTCTAGGTTTCTAGTGCAGAGTTTTGTGCTCTTTTAAATGAGCTATGTTGCAGCCTAAAAGAACTTATATATTTTTCCCAACAATGAGCTATTCACAATATGCATTTTTCCAAATATGATTGTTTTCATGTTAAAACTTGCAACTAAGGAACTAAACAAGTAAGACCAATACAAAAAAAAAATTAATGTAAACTTTGGTATTTATAATGAAAAACACTTTATAACATAGTTTAGTAAGGCTATTAAAAATCATGTTAACTAATTTTATGATAAAAGTTGTATATACAGTTAGCCCTCAGTTTATGCCAGCTTTATTGTGCCAATTCACAATAATGCTGCTGTGCAATTTGCCGTGTAATTCCCTGATTTTCCCTATGCTAGACTGATTTTTGTTTCAGTGTTGACATATTTACTGAGCCGTGACATTATACATCCATTAAAACAGATTTTTATTGAATACATTTATTTTTTTCTGTTTAATATTATTGGGTATGTATACATTTACATTAAATTAATATTAAATACTAAATATTTAGGTACCCACATATACAAGAATAAAGGAGGGTTATTATGTCAGATAAAAGAAGTGCACCAGTTATATAAACATGTTAAGAAGGCATGGCAATCTACCTCTCTAGAAACGAAAATGGAAGTTATTCAACAAATGGAAAATGGACAAACATGCCCTAATGTCTGTAGATTTTACCTCCATCGACTGTTACTACCATTATGAAAAATGAAGATAAAATTAAACACTCTGCTCAACTGTCTATGGCAGTAAATGTAAAACATGAGTTACAATAGAAGTAAAATTTTTGAAAAAATGGAAAAATTGTTACCATTATGGGTGGATGATGCAAATTAAAAAAAACATTCCCTTGACTCAAGCTGCTATAACTAAAAAAGCAAAATCAATTTTTGATAATCTTAAGGAGACAGAAAGAGGTGAAGAAATTTTTTTGGGAAGCAAGGGTTGATTTATGAGATTTAAATCCCGAACTAACTGTTGTAGCGTAAAATTATGTAGTGAAGCAGCAAGTCCAGATGTTGCGGTAGTGGCTGCTTTTCCTAAGGAATTTCAGGGTTACGTAGAACAAGGCAACTATTCTCCAGACCTAATCTTCAACATTGATGAGACTGGGTTTTATTAGAAAAAGTTACCAGTACAAACTTTTATTTCTTGTGAAGAACATTCCACAAAGTTGCAAAAGATAGATTAACTCTTTTGTTGGGAGCCAATGTTTCAGAAACTTTGAAACTTAAACAGATGTTAGTGTATCATTCACAGACACTGCGTGCTTTAAAGGGTCTAAATAAAGACATTGTTGCCAGTTTATTGGAAATGGAACAAGAAAGCTTGGGTCACAAAAGATGTTTTCATAGATTGGTACACAAGTTATTTTTGCCCTACTATGCTTCGCTTTTGTGAAGAAAATAAATTACTACCCATGGCACTTTCTTCTCTTGACAAATCTCCAGGCTATCCTCAAAACCTTGATGAAATCAGAACACCATTGGATGTCAAGATTGTTTACATGCTTCCCAATACAATATCTCTTTTGCAACCAACGGATCAGGTGATTATTGCAACCTTCAAAGCTTATTATCTCCGTAATACATTCATGGAAATGATGAGAGTTTTAGACACTTCAGACAAAACAGTTAAAGACTATTGATGCTCTTTCGATATTTTGAAAAGCATTAAAAACATCAAGTCAGCTTGGGATAAAGTTTCAGCAAAATGCTTAAATGGAGTTTGGCATAAACTTCTGTCAGTATTCATGCACAATTTTGAAGAAGTAGCACATCAGGAGAATTTAACTGAAGACATTACCAGACTTGCGCATGATGTGGGATTGGAAGATGTTACAGCTGAAGATGTGACAGAACTTCTAGAAGCCCATGATCAGCCACTCTCAAATGAAGACTTAGAAGAATTATACAAAGAATTAGATCACAAACAGTCAGAGAAGGAAGAAAACGAAGAAGAAACTCCAAGAGTTATGAAAACAGCTGATCTAAAGCATATCCTTTCAACTATGGAAAGTTTGACAGATGAACTTTGTAAGTTAGACAATGATTGGGAGAGAAGTGCAAATGTAAAAAGGAGCATCATCATATCCATTTGACCATATTCTGAAATTCTTAATGAAAGAAAACAAAAATCTAAACAATTAAAGATGGATACTTTTTTCCGAAAAATGTAAGAGATCTGAAACTTTGAAACATCATTTATTTTTCTTAAGATTTTTTAATAAAAACATTTCACTTTATTTTATCATAAAATACATTTTAAAAATTAAATTTATAATATATGTATTTTGTATTATATTGTATTAATAAACAAAATTATTTGCTTATTTTTCACTTATGTAGAACCTAACCCTTTACCTCACTGTAAATATGGGTTCATTTTACACCGATTCGATTTGCACTGGCTTTTGTAGGAACGGAACTGCGGCATAAACTGAGAGTTACCTGTAATATGTTTTTAAATTAAATCAAAATTTTATAGTTAAAATTATATTCCTTTTGTATTAAATCCAATTATAAGATTTCTTCTCTTTAATAAAGACAATAAATTTGAAAATGAAAAGAGTTGTTCAAATAAAAAACATAGACTGCATGGGTTATGGAAGAAAACTTTTAATCAGGGAGTCAGCAATGGCTTAAAAGTGATATTAAATTTATCTATACATTAAGATCTGAAACAACAATGTTTTCCAACATAAAAAAACCTAGATAAATATATAACTTATTTACTATATATATGTATATTAATATAGATAAGAAACACAATCATAAATGTATATATAATTGTGTGAGAATCAAGAGTTTGGAAACATTTTAAAGTTTAGAAAATAATTATAAAATTAATTTAAATAGTTTAAATAATAATTTATTCACTTGAGAAAAAGGACGAAATTTTATCAATATTCAACATCTCTCTTCTTCCTGTGAATCAGAGGAAGTTGGAGTTCCTGCAAAAACAAAAGTTTAAGAAGGAATGAACGAATTGAGGACAAATGCTATTGATCCACTGATTTGTTATAAAAAGGTGGAGATCACTGTTTTTCCTTGCTTTTTGTTCTAATCCAGATGTCACTAGCCATGTAAGGCTTTAGTCATGAACTGTACAGCCTTGTTTTTTAGCTAAAGGGGATTCTTAGCTCTGATTATGTTTCCGCCTTATATTCATCGATGCTTCAATTCCGTTAAGGAAGAATGAGATAAGACGTTCCTTCCATAAATGAAAGGTTATCATACTACATTCCCAGGTAATAAAAGAATTATGTAAGCTCTCTTGTATTCAATAGTTGAATCAGGAATCTTCCAAATAGAAGTGTAGATTTGTTGTATTATTTACTTAGTTATTTAGACATGATATTTAATCATTGATATATAAATAAATATAGTTAGTTGTTTCATTAATTCAGCCTACCTTCATTTCCTAATCAATATTCTCTCCATACCACTCAAATTTAACAGTTAGATTAACCACTCAGATTTAGATTAAACTTAAAGACATTTGTCTTATTGCGAGTTAATGCAGTTATTGCGAGTTAATGCAATTATTCTTTCCTGTCAGGAATCTTGATGTGACAAGGATCTCACAATATTTAGACAAAATAAAATATTTCCATCCTGCATAGTGAGCGAAGTCTCACAACCCCAATCTCACAATTGTGTTACATTTGAACTTTAATTTTTAACAGGAAAAAAGTGAATGAGCTGAGACCTGTGGATATTCTTCAGCATATGCAAGCCATATACAGTGAGGAGAGTTTGGCTTGCAGAACCATGTTTACACAGTATGAGACGTTTCACAAAAGCTGTAAAGCTTCAACAGATAAACCACAACTGGAGCAGAGTAAGTTCACCATCACAAGGAAAGCATTGCCACGATAGACCATGCAGTAAAGGCTAATCAGCAGATAACCATTCAATAATCGGCACACAAAAGTGACCTCAATATCGGCTTAATCAGTGCAATCATTCATCAACATCTGAAGTTCGAAAATAGTGTGTGTCCAATGGGTTCCAAAGCATCTGACAGTGGAACAGAAGTAAAATTATACGGATTCATCATTGGCATTGGAGCACCTTACATGTTACTGCAGTTGTGAGAATAAATTTTTGCCACAAGTTATCACCAGTGATGACACACGATGCACATTTTTGACTCAAGATAAAACACACGAGCAAGCAGTGAAAACATCTATCTTCATCAACAAGAAGGAAGACTTGTTCTACCACAAATTCTGGTAGGATCATTTTGTCCTTTTTTCAATCAGAAGGGTCCATTGCTCATCAGTTAATTGTAAAATTCAATTGTAAAATGCTAATAAGTATTGCAATACACCCGTAGAAAGTCTGCATTACCGTAAAGAGAAAATGCCCAGGCATGTTATACTGCAGTTGTGCTTTTGCACAATACATGCCAAGCAACATAGCACTGGTTACAGTATTATGTGGTCTGCTTAGGATGGGAAATTCTGCAGTGTCTGTCTCATAGCCCTAATATGTTGCATTTAGACTTCCATGTCTTTGGACCTTTAAAAAAATTTCTCAAGGCTCAAAGGTGTTGTCAGACACCATTCTAACAGCAAAGTCTAAGCAGCTGTAACTAAATGCTTTCCTCTTTTCATGCAGAAGGTATATACAAACACACCAAATAGGAACAAATGTCCGAATGCTGCAGGTTAATTCCAATAATAGCTAATGCAATTTTGTCATTACACTATACATACTCTAATTTTGCTACGGCGACCAGCGACACCACGTACATTTTATAGAGCAGTTTGTTTCATTCGAACAGCCCTTATAATTTTTATATTTGGTCGGCGGTTTAGTATTTGACGAAATTACGTTCAAAGCAAGATCCAATAATATACGAAAGAAGCTTAACAAGACCATTAAAAAAAATTATATATAAAATATTATTTTGGGAAATACGACGTTTTTCCCGAAGGTTCGAAAACACCGGAATTTCGAAAACCCTAGCGGCGACGCGAGGACGGAATTTTATGGAATTCGTAATAAAATTCTTTTTACGTCCGTTCGACCCGGCTTCCCAAAACGAAATCCCAAGCGTGCCGCCGGTTAAAAAGTATATTATATATTTACCAAAAAACATCCCACTCTTAAATATTACATTATTATAACGTATCCAACGGGCCGACGCGTCGATCCGCCATTCCGAAGAACCCGAGACCGACCCGAGAGATTTCGGAAGCGGCCCGTTCCGGACCCGTCGGGCCCCTTCTTCCTTCGCCGAGTCCAGTCGGTTCCACGACGGACGCGATGGGAAAAGTCCTCTCGGCACCCGGAGGGGGGAAAGTAAAATATCCGACAGAGTTTTAAATTTAGTAATCCTTTTTAAACGAATTAAATACTTTTGCATTACATTCTTCAATTGATAAATATTTATTTAATATAGATTTTGTAATATCTATTTTTAGTTAACCTTATCTACAGGAATGTTTACTTATCAAGATTTCCAACCGTTCAAAGATTAGCATAACAAATTGAACACTTGATTCTTACCAAATTCGACCAACGATAAACTGATTTTAAACGTTTCATTCTTATAAGAATTTTATTTTTCCCGTTATTACACCCAAATGGTATAAGTTACTTCGAGGTAAGTTGTGTATGTATACAGATATACACATATTATCTAAAAGTAACTGGAGTTACGTTCACGGTAAAAATTCCATCGACGATCACAGCGAACGTAGCACAAACATTAAAGGATTAACGTCGAGGATCGTAACGTTTAATTCGTTTAAATACGTCGACTTAACAAATAAATTGACATTTCGACTAATGGCTTTAAAATAAATAAATAAAACATAAAAAATTGTCATTTAAATACCAAAGGTAAAATTTGAATTTCTAAGCTTAATTATTTTTAGATGCGAAATACACGAGGCACGAGTCGGAAACGTTGAAATTAAACCAATAAAAATGGCTTACTTACGCTATTTCCATATTATATATACAATAATTACAAGTTGCCGCTTTACAAATTACCATCCTTCTACTACTACTATGCGCCACTCTGCGGTTTGTTTCCCTGCCGTACACTTATTCGTTTTTAACATATTTTCCTCTTCTTAACGTGAAATTTTAATTATTCTCGTCGACTATTTTGCCATTTAAGATTAATTTTAAAATGATATTTCCGGCCAAAAGCATAATTTTTTTAATATTTAAAACTTTCGTAATATTAAGAAGTTAACCAATTGATATTTTTTATTAAACGGTTGTTTTGTTTTTTTTAATAGCTCTTTCCGCCCTAACAGAGCTTTTTTAGCCAGCCCATTGCGGGTTCGGCCAGGTCCACGATGGGACGGCCGGGTAGCCAGGGACCATCCTCCCGAAAAATTCCTGGGGGTTTTTCGGCCCGTCCGGATCGATTCCCGATTCCCCGCGGCGCGGCGGCGGTAGGTTGCCAATTTAATTGCTCGGCTATCCCTCCGTCTAAACGGCTATGTAATTTTAAATAAATTTTTTATGGAATTAAAGATATCCTCTAAGTAAATTATTAATCGTTATTCGATTATCACATCACGAGTCGTAACGTTAAATATTGCCGAATTTAAAATGTTTGGAGCGAGATGTTTTGTCTTTTCCTCAAAAAACAACAAAGCGTGATACGCTTTGCAGCTAGGCCCCGCCACCGTCTACGGACGTGTTAAAACTTTTATACGTAATAAGAAAATATTTTTTTATTTGTTAATGGGAACAAATTTCGAATGCACGGTATTTTATAAATCAAAAATTTGTATTATTTTTCGCATTTATATGTAGGGGAACCCGGAGCGGAATGGGGTAGCTAACGAAGAAGTTAAAATTATGTCAACAATAAAAGAAAAATAACCAAAATATTACATTATATCCTTTATTTATTATAATTGGCACATAATTATTTAAATTACATTTTTAAAAAATTAATAATTTTGTGTGAAAACTAAATCATTAAAAAAAAAGCTTACCCACATCCCGTTCCGCCCCGCACTCGAGGCAGAATGGAGTGTGAGATTAGTGCTCAAATATTAGGAAAAAAATATTAGTCACGTCGCTTACAAAACTAGCAAACCAACGCGGAATCGTCATCGTCGCCGTCAAAACCCGCGCAAGATATACGAGCCCATTTTTTGCACGCGACACACGAACACCGATCACGTGTCGCGTGCAAAAAATCGACTGTGAGTAAGCACCGGTGCAGTAAAGGCGAGTCGTATCGTCTTCTCCTTCCGAGTAATCGGCCTCTTGTTCTTCTTTTTTTACTAGACTTTGTTTTTTTCCTTTTTCCTTTTACGTTTCCTTTACGGGAAACTGTTCCGTTGTGCCTCAATGCACACGCTTCTAAAAATCAAGTAGAGAAAAAAGTTTACGATTACTTTTTGCGTTATTTCATTCTAAAAATACAAACAAACAAATCTTTAAACGAAAATTATCTTTGGACGAAGGCGGGGCAATATCTGGAGTGTTTTCGGATGCTATATAAGTAACAGTCTTCGTTGCAGTCCCAGTTGACTGCGAGTAGTCTTCGTTGCTTTGTTTAACTTCCTGTTTTGTTGGATATAACTCTACTGCCGTTTATAACTGATCAAGTTCATCTATGAATAAATAGGCTCGATAAATAGACGCTGCCACGTAGCCTTAGTCAGCTCATTTTGACCGATAATACTGAAGTTTATCGCGACCTTCGTTTTGACCCCTATCTCCAGTTCTATAAAAATAAATCATTTTTGAGAGTTGAAATTTTAATCGGTTCATCCTTGAGTGATGATGAGTCGTTCAAGAAATTTCATCAAGCTCGGACAACTTATTCTAGAGTTATAATGTTGACAAGGAATGCGTGAAGTCGCGTGTTAGTCGTCACTCGGCTTCGCCTCGCTCCGACAATTACATAAAATTACAAAAAGAAAAAACGAATAGAATACAGTACTGTATTTGCAAAATGATTTATTTATTCGAACATTTGTTAAAAATTAAACACCCGACGTAAACGAAATTTAATACGTTATTCGTTACTTACGAAAATATTGATATTATATTAATTTTATATAACTTAAAAAACACTTTTTCCGCCATGTGGGCACTAAAACGGCCTCTTTTAGAAAGCCCATTACGTGTTTGTCCAGGCCCACAATGGTGAGGGTCGGGCCCGACATATCCGGACGGACCATCCTTAAAAAGTTAAAATAATCCTGTTTCTAATAAATATTATTTTAATAAAATAATCCTTTCTGAAATATTTCAAACCGATTAATATATTTACATAATACGGACGTAAAAACACGATGCGATCGTAATACGTCACGCGTTGTTAAAAATGTATTCTAACAATACCTAACGAATTGTTACAATGTATTGTTCGTTTTTTCTATTGTAGGTGACCATTGTAAGGACAGAAGACGCCGACGAAAGGCGAAGAAAGCCCGCTCGGGTGAAGACAGGAGTTGCCGACGGGGCGAAGAGGGGTCCCGTGTCACGTTTCTTTAAGGCCCGCTCGAGTAAAGAGGCCGACGGGAGATGATGAGTCCTCCGAGTGTCCCGCATGTTTAAGATCCGCTCGGGTGAAAACAGAAGATGCCGAGGAAAGGCGGAGAAGGCTTTCTGTGTCTCGTTTTATTAAATTTCGCGCAGGGCGAAATTGTTTTGTTTTTGTTTATTGAGGTTCGGTATGAGTTTGTAGTATATTTTGTGGCCCTAACGCGCTTTTTATTGACCTGGGATCTTAGTGGCTTTCTTTCTTTCATTATTACTAGTTGTTGTAATATCGTATCCATTAGTTTAGATTGTAACGATACGGTGTGTTTCGAATAGTTGAATTTGATGTATTCAGAGGAAATTATAAATATTTTCATTGTGTGAGTTAGGACGAATGAAACTCGACAAGCGATGTCAGTCGCTTATAAAGTTGCATTCTTCCCAACTCTTGTGGAACTCTGAAGCAGCCACCTCCACGTGGTGAGTTCTGGGTTGTCGAATGGCAAGCGAAGAGCCGCTTGTTTCTTTCAATTGATAATAAGAAATGAAAACATGCCAATAAAAACAGAATTTACAAAAGTAATTAAAGTTAGGAGAATTAAGTATCGAACTTTGGTATAAATTGCTTTAAATTTTGTCTAAGTGTTGTTAATTCCTTTGTTTTAATCGTGATCGTGAATTTCAATTCATCCTAGTTCTGAATTATTAAAATACTAGCAGGTGGGCCCGGCGTTGCTCGGGCAAAAGTAACGATAACTAAGATAAAGATTATTACGTTACAGTCAACCTTACCCGTTTTCACAGAATGCAAGAATTGTGTCCCCTTGTTTCCAGACTAATTAGAAAATTTTTAGATGGGTCTAAAAATATGTTCGATTTCCCGCAAAAACGAAAAAACTGCATCTGCGTCTTGCACGTCGCTTTCTCTTAACAATTCTATTGTTACGTAACAATATCAACAATGGAAGTCTTAACACTTCCATTGTTGATGGAAGTGTTAAGACTTAATCCTGTCCCTCTCTCCCGTGGGAAGGAATTTCGAAAAATCCCTTCTTAGTGTGCGTTCTCCTAACGTACCCTAACTGTGTACCAAATTTCAACTTTCAACTCCTAACCGTTTGGGCTCGTATCCATAATGTATATAGAAGTTTTAATCCTGTCTCTCTCCCCCCGGGGGGAATTTCGAAAAATCCCTTCTTAGTGTGCGTTTTCATGACGTACCCTATCTGTGTACCAAATTTCAACTTTCAACTCCTAACCGTTTGGGCTCTGCGCTTATTATTATTATTATCATTATCATCAACCCGTCTCGATTATATATTAGATATGTCTAAAATAGAATGTTTGTTAGTTTTATATTAAGTGATGTATAAGGAATATAATGCAACCGTTCGTTTTTATATATACAGTAAGACCTCGTTTAGCGCTTAGGATGCGTTCCTAGACGACAAAAGCGCTAAATGAGGTCATTTTAACACATAGTAAATAGGAAAAGGGGAATACGCGACCAAAAATAAACATATTTTACTTGCATTTTTGTGATGAAGGTCCTGTCTGGATCATTCGCTACAATTTAATTAACGATTTCGATTATCCTCGCCGAACTTTCACCAAGGAAATCTATAACATGTCTACTTGGACTTTACTTATTAATAAGACTTAATACTGGTGTTTAAAGATTGGCACAGCAATGAGAGTTAGTTCAGGAAAGAACAAAATTTCTTTATTATATCACCTGTAGTAATAGTTTCTGAAATACTGGTGTTTAAAGATTGACACAGCAATGAGAGTTAGTTCAGGAAAGAACAAAATTTCTTTATTATATCACCTGTAGTAATAGTTTCTGTACACATATTATACGTGTTTCGGGCTAGCATGCCCCTCATCAGCAGTACTACTACCATACATGTAAATACATATTCCAATCCCGAGTATAAATGTATCTTTCTCGTTACATTAGAATTTAAGGACAGTAAGGCTTTTACAATCAAATCTATAACATGTTTCTGTGTTCTTCGTTTTGAGAATCATCCTTAAATAACGTCCTTTGTAAATTAACCGACTACACGAGCTCAAATATGTTAAAACTGAACGCAAATAAAATAAAATATCTCCGCTTTGTAAATAAAAATAAAATTGTTGATACGAAACAACTTCAAATTGAAAAAATGAAAAGATACAAATAATTAACTGCATAAAATATCTCGGTGTTTTGATAGACGATAAACTCAGATTTGATAGATTTAACTAAGACTGTCGCTATAATTAAGAAAATACAGGACTCTCTGAATATAAATACGATAATACGACTATATCACGCCTGTATAGAACCGAAAATTCAGTATGGCATAATTATATGGGGAATTACACGGGATTATATCGCGAACCGATTACAAATACAACAAAATCATCTAATAAGAGCCTTTTTAAATTAAAGTACTATGAATCAATCTCCTATTGTTATCAAAAAGAAAAAATTGACAACATAAAAACATTATATGCAAAACAAACTATACTTTTCTCATTTAAATTTATAAAGCTTAAAACGAATAACAGTCATCTTTTAAATATAGAAAATCATCGCAGGAAGGGAAACTACTGTAATCGTCAAAATTATAACTTCTTAACTATATAAATTTGCTTAAATTATAAAATATATATATTTTCACTGTTTTAATGTCGATACACTTGTAATTTCATCAAAAAATCACCACGCGAGGTTTTATTAGTCAACGACAAAGCGAATGTCGTTACTGAGGCGTTGTGACAGTCCGAGTGCAGGACAGGGAGCGAACCGATTCCCTCACCTCTCTTTCATACGTAAATCGTCTTTTCCACTCCGCCCCGGGTTCCCATACAACGATTATGCGTTTTAATATTAAATAAATTTATGTAACAATCCGCTTTGCGATTTTACAATTACAGTAGAGCGTCGTTTATCCGAATCAATTGGGGACTGGGGTGGTTCGGATAACTTATTTTTCGGATAACGAATCATGTACGAAAAAGTATATTAATTTATCCCATGTTGAAATTTCTCTCCGTTGCGTGTCGCTTCGCGTTGAATTTTCGTCGATGTTAAGCCTAACAAAGACTATTATATCGTTAAAAATTTATTTTGTACAAACAAAATAAATTTATTGAAAAATATAAAAACAATAAAAAATTATACTCCAGAAGTTAATTTAGTATCAAAAACGTAAAATATTTGAGTAGCCCGAGAAATAGCCGAAGATTGCAGCGCCACAGCACTAGCGAAAATTTAAATTTGCCGACTGGAATGCTTTCGGATAACGGACGTTTCGGATAACCAGCTTTCGGATAAACGACGCTCTACTGTACTCTAATTCGATCATTTTTGAAATCGACTTATTCAAACTTCGCTCATTAGCTAAAATATCGGGTTGTAACCGAATCGATCTACGCAAAAATCTCAAATGTCCAAAATTTCAACTTTTCGGGAAGCTCAGAGAGCATTTCTATAAATTACTCAACGAACTCGGGCAAACGTTAACTCCGTCGTCAAATAGTCACAGTTGACCATTATGAACAGGTGCTGGTTTTTTTTCATAGAACGATTCAATTTTAATCCAATGAGAAAGCCTGAAAATCAACAGAATTGGATTAATGGAATAAGGCAACGCGACTCGTGGGCTATCAGCCAAGGGAATGCCTTCCGGAAGGACTTTCTATAGGAAACTGGCTCCCGTTTAGATGCTAGACCCTTGAAAATCCGGAAAAAATCTTCGCGGTCACCCCTCGGCCAGAGACGAATCCGAGACTAACTACCAGTACTCGGCGGTTTTATCCATTCGGTCGCTGGTGGACCGAAAAGCAACAGAAATTATCGAAGCAACCCGAAAGAATGTGATGGTAAAACAAACGAAACTTTTCCAGTTTTAATTATAAATTTTATATGTAATAAAATAATTAATTTAAATTTGAAGGCTTTCGATCTACTTATTAGACGATAATCGCGACAGAAAAAAGTTTAATCTTTAGCCACGAAACGGTTAAGGCAGTGTTTTTCAACCTTTTTCATTGAGTGGCACACTTAATTGAAAAATAGCAAATCGTGATACCCTTGACCAGCGGCGGATCTAGAACCTGAATAAGGGGGACTAATGGGCCACATGAATTTTTTTGCGAAAACGAATATTACGTTCAACGCAAAAGTGTTTCTACGTGTTCAAAATCAAAATTTAAGTCCATTGAATTTTGTCGAAATACCTACATGTAAAATAATAGTCTCGCTATTGTTTTTTAAATGTAGTTTTATTATCAAATATATCATCATTTTATATTATCATTTTATTGATAAACAATTTTTGTTACGTTTTTTTTATACTATTTTGATGCATATATAAAATAAATATTTCATTATTTTTTTCTTATCTTTTTCATATCAATTTAAAAAATTTAAATTAAAAAAATGATAACAATTGTTTATTTGTCATCATTGCTTTTGAATACTATGAAAATACTGTAATATGCACCTACTTTGTGATTGAAACCACACGCTTTTCAAAGTACAATGCAACGCTTTTTAAAGTATATACAAGTCACAAGTGTCCACGTCGTTCTTCTCTGGTGGTTGGCCCGGTACTGGGACTGGAAACGTGAAGGCCAAGCAATGTGGTTTGGGAGAACTCGTGACAAGTCGCGCGTACACGTAGCGTAGAACATTACATTAACATGTGATTAGTCATAGTTTCTTTGCTTACTAGATATCTCGTATCAAAGTAGAACTGACAATGAGTTATCTTAAACTACACTTAAGTAAATTTCCAAGAAAATGCCTAAAGGCTCTAAACTTTGTGGCACCCCGGTTGAAAAACACTGGGTTAAGGCGTCAGCGTAGGACCCTGAATTGAATTCCAGCAAGTAACTACAGAATCTTTCGTGGGTATCTCGGGTCATAAGCCAAATGTGTGATATATCAGACGGCGCAATATAGCCGATGTATCTATCCATTATTGCCCAAAGCGCTTTTAATTTTGGAAGAAAAAAAAATATATCCGAGTAACCGGTATAACGAAGGGTTGCTGTATTTTGTAAACGTTATAATTAAACTATTTTGCGCCTTTTAAAATAAAATTCGCCCGAACAAAATATTGGGAACAACTTTATCCATGTATCGTTAACGACTCGTTTTAAGATTATTTTACTGTTCTACTTATATACCGAACAGCAGATCGAAAATAGGTGAATATTGAGAAATGAATTATTTCCGTTACTTTTAAACTATTTATATATAATATATATATGCATTATACTGTACGTGGTGTCTCAAACCACATTCATAGAGTGAGCAAATTATATTATATTATTCATATTGAAAATAAGGAAGAGATAAAATAAAATTAGTCAAAAAACCGAAATGTTTTTATTCCCAACACATTATAGAAAGATGTGCAACAAATGCTTCCATAGTTTAAGATCCGGATTTATTAAAGGCAACCCCAGGGCCGGATTAACCTACTTTGGGGCCCTAGACATTTTCTTCTTACCGGGTCCCAAAACCATTTTCCCACATAAGAATACAGTTTCTTTAGATTTTAGAATTCACAATAACCATATAAAAAGCAATGTATTTTTGTTTATTATATACAGTCGTCCAGCAGAAAAGTAAACTATTTATTTACAAATCTTTTCAAAATAGACAGTTTGACAGGGCCCTAGACATTTGTCTCATTTGTCTATGCGATGATCCGGCCCTGGGCATCCCGTATTTGCAACTCATGAATGGATATATACAGCATACATATGTTTGTCGGCACAGGATCGGCGATGTCTACGCCAGGACTGAGCGTTTTGCCGTTTCGTGAGTGGTCGGGTTCGGGATGGAGGATGTCCGAGGAATGCACTCAATTACAGATTAAACAAATACCCGTTTATTTATGTAAACTAATTATGCATATATATATAGCATTTCCGTTATAGCTACTGTATAGAAAAAAAAAAAAACAGATAAGGCTTTATATAGCGTAAGATACTTGATAGGATGGTTCCTTATTTCTTGATTATGTAGACGGCCTCTGGGTTCGTTTAGAGATTAGATAGTAGTTCGGGAGCTCGATGTAAGATCCTCCGAGGGCATGTAAGTAGACGGCAGGTTGGTCCAGGCGGTAATCGGCGGCGATGATGTTTGATAGGACGGTGGAGGTAATCCAAGACGGGAGCGAACAATGTCAAGCAACTCTCGATGACGGACGAACTCTGGTTGTCGTCATCGATTCTGTTCTTTTATTTCGGGGGTCCTCCCCTTTTTCTCATGCCCATCTTTTTGAAATGTAGATTTTGCGACCAATAAATGAATTTCGGCCGTGAAGTTCCTGGTGACACATTCGATGTCATCTTGGAGAGGAAGTGATTCCCGGGTGAAAGATTAATTAATTATGGGAGGATATGCTTACATGTTGGGAAAACTTTCAATCAAAAATATTTTTGTCAAATCTGGACTCTCACATATTTATAATTACATTTTAAAGAAAACGACTTTTTAATGCTTCCCGCAGTGGCCATTGTTCAAAAGCGGTCTATTTTGCTGAATAAATTTCATAAATTATTTCTAACTACAAAAATATTTACAGATAGTTTATATAAAACATTACAAAAACACATGAATATTTATTTTTAATAAACCAAATTAAGATAATTCAATTTTTACAAGAATGTTGACTTTATAAAAAAATATAAAAAATTTTACAGAAATATTTATTCATATAACAGATATAAACAGTAATATGTGCAAATGTATACATGTATATATGGTATAAAAGTAAGTATAATTACATAAATTCCTACAGTATGATTCCATAAGATGATGATAGTAAAACAAAATACTAATAAAAAATAGATGAATTTTATATAGTTTAGAATGGAATAAATAACTATAAGTCCTCTAAAAGGTCCAAATTAAATAAATGTCTTATTGTAGGTCTTCCATGAGGGCAATTCTATAACAAAAATTATTATTATTAATAAATAAAAATTTATAATAATAAAAATAAATAGTTATTGCTTGACAATCCATGAAGGTACAGTCGACCCCCTTATAATTACGGTCCCTATAATTACGATTCCTATAAAACTACGAAAAAATATACGTATTTCGGAAATGTTGAGTCGGATTAGTGTAGAATCGATTAATTTTATGGAAGAAAACCTTTCAATCAGCCATAGTCCGTAAACATGACACGTGTCGGGCTGTGATTGGAACGACTTGTAAGAAATCAGATTCCTAATAAATTGGGACGTATCTATATCTTATAGGGGGGTCGACTGTAGTCTAAATGGATGAAAATACATTATAGAACTAATATAATGCAGATGATAAACCCATATCTATACATACATAGTATGTAATTTAGTCTGCATTATAAATGGACCCATATTATACTACATCAAATTTACGTATTTTACTGTAACAGATAAGAAAGACACTCAAAACACCTTGTAAATGTGCAGCCGTATTTATTAAATTCGAACGTTTTCGGTCATAATAAATACGGCTGCATATTTACAAGGTGTTTTGAGTGTGCTTTGTTGATACGATACGCAGTCTACGACGAGATAAGAAAGATTTGATAGGCTTACATTGTATAAAAAATTTTATATACTGTACTCATTTTAAATTGTATAAAGAAATTATATGCATTCTATAATTTTATTGGATATACAGTAGTAGTGACTTCCATCAAATTCAAAAGAAATTAAAAGTCAATCTTTGATTGCATTATAAATAATTTCAAATTAAATCAAGTTGCATTGTATCACATTTATGGTGACTTTTTTGTATTTCTTAAACTATTGAATTTTTTGTGATGATATCAATGGTTTGTCTAAATGTAATTAATTTTTGATGGACTTCTAATTTTTCCCTAGCAACTTTCTTTAACATTAATTTCTCCAACTTTGAAGTGCATTTTAACAGTTTTCTTAAACTGTTAAAATCTGTTCCTTTCATGTCACATTATTTTTTGTTTGTGTTTCAAACCAATAATATAAACTTTATATTATCACAGATATCACTCTCAGATATCAGCCTCATTGTTTTAAACACTGAAAATGTCACTCAAAACTTTCTATCACATTGAAAAAATATATAAAGTGTGTATATATATTTTCAATGTGAAAATTACTTAATAATTTAGTAACATTTTATTTGTTCACAAATTGTTTTTTTACTGATATTAATAGTTTTGAGAAAATTATTACAGAGAATGAAAAAATCTAAATTTTATGTAATTTTTACAAATTATAGTAGTTATGAAATAAAACAAGTTTTTTATTTTTTGCTGTTATGCAGGGTGTCCTTTAAGTTTGAATCTATAGGAGTTGATTTTTGTTTATTCTTTTACAGTTGCAGTCAGTATGCACCGAGTAAGGAGAAACGTATGTATATTAAGAAATCTATTGCTAATTTTATTTAGTGTGATATTAAATAAGAAAATTTTTAATTTAAATATTTATTGAATCTAATAAATATATTTAAAATGTTTAATTATATGAAAATGTCCTTAACATTTAAAAAGTTATGACATATTAACAATATAAAATATTGAATATCTGTGTACTGATCTGATTTCTTTAATTATATATATATATATACATACATACATACACACAACACATTACAATAACCAAATTCTACTGTATTAAATAATCACTTTGGATCTTGCCTATACTGATGATGATAAATGACTGATAACATTAAGTGTGGTAAAGAAATAATAATACAATTAATGGGAATTCTGATTTTATTGACATGACTCTGACATTGAAAAAGATAACAAAATTACAGTGGTACCTCAGGTTACGAACGCCCCAGCATACGAAATTTTCAGGATACGACATGAAATTCGAACATATTTTTGCTCCACGATACGAACAAAAACTCACCATACGACGTTACATTAGTTCGCATTTTTCATTTGTTTTTCTTACTACAGTTATTTTTTTAATGTATTACTTGGCTTTAATTTGAGTATGTTTTTTGCGTTGGAATGAATTATTTGGTTTTACATGTAATCGTATGGGAAAAGATGATCCACCTTATGACATTTTCATGATACGATCTCAGTTTCGGAATGGATTAATTTCGTATCCTGAGGTACCACTGTAATTGCATTTTATACCAAAAAAAGGATATCTTAAAACAATTAACATATGTATAACTTCAGGATTCATTCATTATAATTATTATTATTATTAATTAATTAATAGTAATCATCCAGTGTTCTTTGCTTATTAATAAACTTTCTTTTGGAATTAAAATAATAATTTGATTTCTGATAATGATTGATTGATAATTGATTTTTCTATGATTTTTTAAAGAATTTTTTTTTACTTTGAATAAATAACAAATGATTTTAATATTTTTTAGTGAATTAATAATTAACTTACCCAGGGGTGTTCAATTTTTCCCATATGATCTATAAGCTGCAAAAAATTAACTTTTAATTAACCAAACTGAAATAATTTAAATCTAGAAATGAAGCATATCATGAAATTCTTTAAAATAAAATATATTTTATATTTAACTTCTATCAATTATTTATTTTATTTCATTAATTTAGTTGTATTATTTCATTTTTTTCTATTAGTGAAGTTGCGACTGAAGTTTTCACCTCTAAAATGTGAACATCGAACGTCGAGTGCCGCTATCTTGTAAGCGATGCTCGACGTTCAGGTTTTAGAGATGAAAACTTTGGCCGCAATCTCACTATTATCTTAAGGAATGAAAACAGTTAATATGCTTTATTTAAAATAATCCATTATTTTTTTAAAATTATGGATTATTTTATATGTATCTGCTACTTAATAACAGGCATATGTTCTAAGAAATATGTCATTAAGTGAATATTATAGAGTGTACTTAGACAAACATATGTGGTATAGTCTACTACTTATATAGGGACAATGAGGTGGCCAAATAGTTAAGGTGGCAACCTACCACTCTGAGGACCTAGAACTGAATCTAGACAGGTTGAAAAACCCCAGGAATTTTTTAGTGGTGGTCCATCTGGATATGTCAGGCCTCATGTTGGGTCTGGCTGAACCCATAATAGGCTTGCTAAAAAAAGGCTCTCTTAATTCAGACAGTAAAAAGAGTTTTAAAAACATACTCATATAGGCTATATACTGTATAGTATGACCATAATATAAATATTTATGGATCTAAACATAAGTTATAGGTGGCAATGAATTTTGGTTCCATTATAATCTTATGGGATTTTGTCATATACGCAGTCCATTGGTAAGAAAAATATTGTTAAATGGTACATATACATATATCAGTTTATCCTCAGAAAACTATCATAGCAAACTAATTATTATTAATTTAATGTATCTTATCATTTTTTTCATTATAAAACATATTAATAAAATTATTACAAGAAGACAAATATAAAAACACTGAAATATTAAGGAATCCCAGTGGTGCAGTCAGGAGGGGTGCTACTAATAAATTCCAATTGTTTAAAAAATGATGTTTATATATAAGTGTAAAAGTAAACAATGCCAGTTGCCACATAATTATAAATTAAAATCACAGATCCCATAATTTTTTATTTAGTAATCTAATAAAATCTAATTTTTCCTTTCACACTGATATGAAACTAATGAATCAAACCTGTGTGTACATGATTTGTTCAGTAATTTCAAGTAATTATTATTTATATCTATATTTTGCTATAAACTGATCAAATACAATTTATATATTTTTTGCATTGCATTTTTATTCAAACATTTAATCCTTCTTAATTTGTTTAGTTGCACCCCTTATTAGATTTCTGTTACTGAGGAATCCAAATATTTTAATCAAAATTAAACATTTTTTGAGATATTTTTCCTCATCATCAGATCACAATAATTTTTATCTGAATAAATAGCAATTTTTCAAAATATTCTATTGGTTTTATTCAAACATTTAAAAGTATAGTAGGTCACTGAAACTTTACTTTTATATCATAAAATAAAATATCTTATAAATTAATCTATTATAAAATAAAATTGTTTTATACAAAATATTAAAAATTAGCTATTATATAGAAATTAGCTACTATATAATCTATACTAATATTATAAAGAAATAAAGTTTGTAAGTTTGGATGTAGGAGGTAATCTCCGAAACTACTCATCTGATTTCAAAAATTCTTTCACCAATATTTAGAATGGACCTTCAGGGTGGACATAGGCTGTATATTATTCCGTTAAACATTCATATAAATTAAAAGATATCATCTAAGTAAGTGTTATATTTTTGGTGTCAGCAGGTGGCGAGGGGCAAAACATGTACATATACAAGATAGGTAACTGCATGGTGCAGTCGCAGGTCGGCAAGATACACAGTGCATGTGTCCGAACTTGTACTGAATATAAATGGGGTTTGATTGCAAAATTTGTGTGGGCGAAGTTGCGGGTAACAGCTAGTAGTATATAAATTGTTAGTTTTTAAAATAAAATGCAAGTTTCAGTGATGTGTGATATTTCCAAATGCCATAATATACATTCAAGGAACAAAATGTTTGTGGCATAATAAACACTAGTATTGTGTTTTATTCTAAAGACACATGGCAAATTTTCCATCAAGTTCCTTTATTCATTGATGGAAAATTTGCCATGTGTCTTTAGAATAAAACACAATACTAGTGTTTATTACGCCACAAATATAAAACAGGACACGGTTTCAAAAAGAAAATGAACAAAATGTTGCCAATAACAACCATATGCAGAGATGTGAAATGTAATAGAAAAGCATCTGATGGAAGTAATATTGATTTACACTTTTATAACCTTTTTATACCTAATATTGTAAAATTTCTTAGCAGCCATGGAGTTCAAGTGCAATAACACTAATAGAATATATTTTTAAAAATTATTATCATCTGATGAAGAGGCAAATGTCTCAAAAAATGTTTAATCTTGATTAAAATATTCAGACTTCTTAGTATTTAAGCATTTTTATATTTGATTGTTTTGATGGAATTATATATCTGAACATATTTATTATATTAAAAAAACAAATAATCATCATACATGTGAGCTCTCAGATTTTTCGGGCATTTTAAAATTCTAAATTTTCTGTTAATTATCTTCGGAAAAAACCCGAAGAATTTGAACTAGATCGGATTTCACTGATTGTATAACGACTAGCTGAGGAAGTTTATAGTTAGATGTGAAGAATGCACCGTCATCGTCAACAAAAGTCAATCACGTGACAGTTTTCCCACGCTAATGATATAAAAGCTCGAATCTCCAAAAGCTCAGGGCGATTCGTTATAGGAAGTTATACTTTGTGATAGTGCCCACCTCGACTCCTGAACCTCCATACAGCGGACTTGATCCAGCTACAGAGAGAGGACATCGGCAAGAAGACACGGAAGACACCACACCCTTCCATACAGACGAAGTTTGCCAAACTCACCCTTCCACCGAGAGGTATTTAGGGGTTAGAATTTGTAAAAGCGCTCTCTCTCGAACTAGAAATTAGGTCAGTGACATAGCTACGAAATTCATCGCCAATTTCTGTAAATATTTTAATATAACTGCATTTAACCTTAGTAGTAAGTTCGCCTCTTGTAAAGTTTAGATTTGTTGATTCAATAAATGCTTTGTTATTTTGTTAACCTGTCTCCTGTCACTTAAGGACGCCTGCCGACTTACCGACGCACTCTCCACTTGATTTGCCCTCCTAGCCATCCAACGACCCCGAGATCGGGTTTTATCAACCTGTTGCCGATTAAGTGGTCAGTAGGAGATTAACCCCTGACCCACGGCTTATCTCACATACACCACTCACGAATTTAGGCTATGTTGACCTGTTTCGGTTTAAATTTAAACACATTGGGCTAATGTATATTTATGTAAAAAATATATAAAATAAATAATTTAATAAGTAAATAATATCAGTTTTGAAACTAGTGTTCTTATATTTACATTAAAAAAAATCAAATTTTCTGTAATAAGTTATAAACAAAAGTCAACTTTATTTTATTTGATTTTTTAAAACACTTCTGTTAAAAATTTAATTTTGTTAATATAAACTTTAGAATAAATTTTCTGAATTTATAAATATATATACTTTTCTCATATCTTTATGAGAGAGAGCAGTCCCAATCATCACTGATTTACGACAAGCACGGGATGCCAACATCTGGTACACTCGTGAAGGTCGACACATTTTTCTCTATTTGTAAAAAAAAAAAGTAATAATAATTATTGTAATTTTTGAAAATTTAAACATTTTTAATTTTATAACTCACGGGACAGTCAGCAAGTAAAAACAGCAATTCTTCAATATCTAAAAAAAACAAAATATCTTTTAATTATAATAGATTACATTATTAAAATAAAATAACATTAAGAAATATACCATCTTTTCCAAAACTCCAATCCTGGCTGATTGGTAAAGATGTCAACTTTATTTTTTCTCCAGTTTTTGCATTTTCATTAATCTCAAAATCAAATCCATTTTTTTGAAAAATTTCTAGATTTTCGATCAGCAAGAATTCATTAACCGCAGTTAAATTTAAACACATTGGGCTAATAAATATTTATGTAAAAAAGTAAATATACAATTATAAATCTATTTTTTAAAACACTTAAATTAATAATTATAAGCAATTAAAATTTCATAAAAAATTTTAACTTATTTCAAAAATATAGTTATTAATAATTTACATTATAATAATAGAACTCTTTTCAATAATAGTTCTAAAAATAATTGTCATGCAGATATCAATAATCATCAGCCGAGGAATCATGTTCTAATAACAACACAATTTATTTTACTAAAGCATTCATATTGTTACATTAATCACATTCTATTGTACTTTATTATCAACTTAAAAGAAGTTGATAATAAAATACAATAGAATATGATGCTTTGTTTTAACAAATGTAATAAAAATTGTATTAGTACTTTTTACTTGTTCTTCAAAAGCTGGTAAATATATATACAACTTGCACTGACATGATCATAATAATGAACTGTCATAAACCAAGCTTAAAGATGGACAAGAAAGAAATCATTCTTCATGTTAACAGTAAATAATTCAATTGCAGGTTAGGTTACTGATGTATGGATAAACATTAACAATGACACAGTTGTATATTTCAGGTGTGACTTTACCCCTCAACAATCTTTGCAATTTTTAAAATCTATAGTCCATTTGCTATAACTTTGTGCATGAACCGAAGAAGTAAAGTGATTGTCTCATTACTGTACACTAAAAAAGTAGCCTTCTGCATTACCTATCTTCATTATAGATACAGCAGCATTGTCCTAATAAAAACGTGAATATCTATTAATTGTTACAGATTTAGTCCTGGAGACAATTGTTAAGAAAGCATATTGTTTTTACAAACTATTTCTTGCAAAAGTGTGCACAAAGTTATAGTAAACAGACTATAGATTTATATCCAAAATAGTTGAAGCTGGAACTACCACAGTATATAAAGACACTGAACACACCTTACACACTTTTCAAGCAAGGTTTAATTATTTAATTAAAATTAATTGCTGGAAAAGTGTGTAAGGTTTGTTCAGTGTCTTTATAGACTGCAGATTTACATTTTCAATTTAACTTGACACTTATATCCTAAAAATTAATATCAAATGTTTTCTGAAGACCAACCTTTTTAGGTTTTCTGTCAAGTTGTATTAGTATTTTCAAATTTGATTTGATGATATTAAGAAATATGTATTATATTACTAAATTAAAACAAAAAATTCACTTTCGTAACCACTTAAAAAGGGGTTTTTCAGGTGAATAAACCAAATTGTTATGTCCTTTGAATGCAATGGTCACCCGAGTTCAAGAATTACTCAGTAGACAACTAATTCTTAGATATTTTATTTTAATGCATTTTAGATCAGAATTCTTGCTGATCCAAAATGCATTTAAATAAAATATCTGAGAATTAATCAGAAGATGATTGTCTTCTGTGTAATTCTTGAACTCAGGTGAACACTGGATTCAAAGGACATAACATTTTGGTTTATTCACCTGAAAAACCCCTTTTAAGTGGTTACAAAAGTAAATGGTTATATCTGGCAAATATTGCTAATTTTAGCTTTATATTAAAACGAAAAAGTGTTTTACTTACTGTACCATTTTCTGCATTTTTAAAATTTCATTTTGTTGCATAATCTCATAATTATATTTCTCATCAGTAGCATGTTGATCAATAATAAATAAATCAGATCCAAGTTTTGTTATAATAAAACCTTTATTAAACTGCATAAAAATTAATATATTAAAAATTATCAAACGTTTTATCATTTATTGGAAATTTAAAGCTTACCTGTCCAATTATTTCCATAGAAACAAACATTTCTTTACTAAAATAAAATTTTAATATATTTTTTAATATTTTATTTGAAAACTTATAATAAAATACTGTATATTATTTTACATGTTAAACTTTTCAATATATTCAATTGAAAATATTTAATAATGTTATAACTTAATAAGTTTTTTTTCTTAAAATATCTTTTCTAATTTATATAATTATAAAATATAAATATTAAATATAGGTTTGTAACAGATATAAATTACTGTTTAATAGAAAATACAAGTTTCTAAAATATTAAAGGGTTATTATTTAATTAACTGAATACTAATTTCAACTAAGTTTATAACAAAAATTTAAATGGCTTCTTTAAATTTTATGTACTAAATTTTCATAATTAATTTATTTCATTAATAAATTTATATTAAATTAAAGTTGAAGGGGCACTTAATATATTGAATACATTGTTGTTCATAAAAATTGCAATATTTATTTATTATTAGTAAGGATGGGTCAAATCCAAAAATTCCTTGAATCTGAATTTAAAAAGGCCTATAAATTTCTCAAATCCTTAATACAAGTGTGTTAAACATAGCTTTGAAACATGTAGTATTAACTGCAAAAGACATTAAAAGTCTAGTAGCACCAAATGTTGGTTGGCAAGTCTGTTACAGATACCCATACATAATGTGATGGATGCACTTGTGCTTTGAACTTTCTACCATTCAGATATCAATAAAGGTATTCTGTTCAGTGATAGTATCATCATACAATACAAAAAACAATGCCAAATGATTACCAGATTAATTATTAAGCTACATAATAAATTATTATTGGATTGTTTGGAAAGTAATTTCATTTTTTTTATGGAAAAAAAAACAATTTTCTTATAATATAAAAATATTTTATTGAATTATATATTGACCATTTTGGTCCAATACCTTTTGTCATCTTCTGGTAATAGCATGATTCCATGCTCATAAAAGTTCTGATCTTTGCTTACAAAAACTGATCCAAATGATTTTTGATATCCTCATTTGAGATAAATGTTTTACTGTTTAAAAAATTTTGTAAAAACTGGAACAAGTAATAATCTGAGGATGCCAGATCTGGCAAATATGGTGGGTGTGATAGCATATCCCATCCAAGCTTGTAAGGAACCAAGTCCGAGCATTATTTTTATTTACTTTTATTTTTGCTTTTTATTATATTTTTGTTTGGGGCTTATGTTTTGTTAGGACGAAGGTTTCCTCACCATTCACCTTAGAAACTTAAAAATAGAAGAGAAACCAACTCACCAATGAGAGAAAAGCGCCATAGAAAACAACTCACGCACACTTGCGTTCCCGAGCGGAAAAAAGTAAGTCTGCACCGAGAAAAAGGGGGGGAGAAGACCCCACAAGCACAACTTAAATTTGCTAAACCTTAAAAGAATAAAACATCCCGCAAATTGTCAAAAAGAATAATGTAAAAGGTTAGCGAGTATTGTCGGAAAATAGGCTGCCAGACAAATAGAAAAGTTTATTGTTAGCAAATAAGTATGTAAATGAGGGGAGTGATCGCATTCAGAATTGTGACGTCACCTCACAGTATAAAGACTGAACGTCAAGTGAAGACGGACGAGGTGAACTCCAGTTAGCAACGAGCTTGGTGAGCTTCGTAGCAGTGAACGAGAGAGGTGTCTGATAGTATCAAATAGTTCCAAGGCGATTTTGAAGTTATTCAATTTGTGGATCGACGAATAGAGTCTTGAGAGTTGAGGAAATAGGTTCCTAGTATATTGAGGTGACAATTAGGATCTTTAATTCATAAGAATTATTGTATATAAGTTAAGTCGTTGAATTTTGTTGAATTCCAAAGGGGAATAGATTTAAGTTAGAAACTAGATTGATTTGAGTTTTGTCGGGTTGATTCTTATTGATTTTCATTGAATAAATTGTTGTTTGATTTTTACTAAATTTTGTATATAGTTTATTATTAGAAGTAAGATATTTGATTTTGTTATTGACAAACTTGGTCATTATTTAATTTCGGTGCACGCTAAAAGTCCAGGCCTGGCACACTAATGCGAATCCACGTAAAGTACCCATTAGGGAACTGCTATTTCCGGCACACAGTCGTGTCGATAATCGTTGGAAAAGTCGGAAAAATAATATAGTACTTTACAAGCTGTAACAGCTTCTGGTGAGTTACCAAACTTGTGTGAGGTCTGGCATTATCATGGTGAAAGACTACACCTTTTCTGTTGATCAATTCTGGCCTTTTCTGTTTGGTGGTATCACTCAATTTACCCAGTTGATGGCAGTACACTTCCGAATAAATTGTGGAATTGTCTGGTAGAGCTCAATAAAAAAATTTCCTTAAAATCCCACCAAACAGAGAGCATCACTTTTCTTTTGATGAATATCAGTTTTCAAAGTGCTTTGAGCCCGCTCATCTCTTCTACTCCATGATCGCTGCATTCGACATTGTTATAAACAATCCATTTTTTGTCGCCAGTTATGATTTGCTTCAAAAATGGATCATTTTCTTGATGTTTCAGAAGCAAATCACAAATGTCAATGCAATGGAGCACATCTCTTTCTTTAAGAACATGTGGAACCCATATATCAAGCTTTGAAACAAAACCAAGTTGTTTCAAGTGATTATAAATGATTGAATTTGACAAATTTAATCTCTTAGAGATTTTGCATGTTCTTATTTGGTGGTTTGCCTCAATAAATACTTTTATTTTGTCTTCATCAGCTTAAATTGGTCTTCCAGAACATGGTGCATCTTCAATATCAAAATTGACAGAACAAAATTTTACAAACCAGTTTTGGCATTGTCATTCTGTCGACACATCTTCTCCATATATGTCACACAATTTTTATCTTGCTTGAACAGCATTCTTACCTTTTTGGTAATAAAAAAGCAAAATATTCCAAAAATGCTGCTTTTGATTTTCCGTATTTAATGGGACACAAAAAAAAAAAAAAAAAAAAAAAACAATTGCAAAGAATCAAACAAAATTTTTTACAAATAAGCTTGGAAATGTCAGCTGTCAAAATATAATTTATGATTTTGAATGAAATTGGTAGGTAAAAATATAACTAATCCCTCTGGTGGTAAAAAACGAAATTACTTTTCGAACAACCCAATAGTTTAATGACTAGTATTCGTGTATGATAGGATGCTCATATCTTTATTATGTAACTTATTTTCAAAGTTTATAAAGCTAGTAAGTTTACCAAATATATTTTGTCTTGAGCAACTTATTGGGATAAGTATCTAGGTTATGCAAAAGCAAAGTGAGAGAATTGCTATAACATGAATTATAGGGGCCTTGCAGTGAGATCATGATACCTGTACAGCAGAGTCCTTCACCTTGCAACCTGTATACCTATCTTCCCTACAAAACAAATGGAACATACCTGCATCTTTTCATTGTCTAAAATTTAACTGCATCTAACTATATAAGACATGGTTGCACATGAAATAACTATTTCAGTACTGACTGAGTATTGTGTCTTCCTCCATACTAATAACTCTTATCATTTACATCTTATATTAAGGGCAACCTACCACATAAATTTCCTTTTTTTATCTGGTGTATTTCTTGGTGTTGCAATTTTTATGAATAGCAGTGTAAGCTATAAGTGTTTCTCTTATTTTCGGTTAAATATTTTTAGTAGAATTTTAAAAATAAAACACACTTAAATGTTAAAAAAATCTTTTATATCTGATTTAATAAAAAATAGTTACATTTAAATAAATACTAAAACAATACTACAGTCAAATTAAAATAAATCATTAATATTTTAATAATACTTATAATAATTTATTATAATTTGTTTATTAAATCTCTAAATAAACTGTGACAATTTGTTGTATTTGTATTGCACTGACAAACTTTTGGATGGTGTTGACATGTTATCTATTTCAAGAAGTCTCACTATTTCAGACTTGAGAAACACAATACTGTTATTAAAGTTTATTTGAACTTCATTAGTAGTATTGTTTCTTAAGTCTGAAAGTAAATGATGGAGTCAGTAATGTTAAAAGAATTAGTTCTCAAAATTCTTTTGAATGTTTTTATATTCATTGCCAGAACCTAACCTGAATTATACACAAAAGGAATCTAAGATACATAATGAAATCAGCACTACATAAATCAGGTTACAATCTTACACATTTTTATGAATTTATACCATGAATTTTACACATTAGTCAATTTCTTCAAAAAAAAATACTGATTACTATTGATATAGGTTATAGGTTTATAAGTTGACTAGCTGTTACCCGCGGCTTTGCCCGTGAGGATTTTGCAAGCAAACCTCATTTATATTCAGTATTTCAACAACCATAGTAATTGTTATATAACACCTACCACTGAGAATGATGAGAATTGCCGAGAATCAAACAAACTGTTTTCAATTTGATCAATTTTCTGGAACGTTTACAATCATTCTATAATCGAACCAACACGCAATAACAAATTTGAATTTAAAATGGTTCAAACATTTTTAAAATCGAAATAGATAAAAATATTTATAACAATGTCTGAAATGTTATCAATTTAATACACCTAAGTACTCAATGAAGACTAAACGTAGTTGAAAACAAAAAATCACATCTAAAATAGTACAGTAGAAGCCATTCTTCTGGTTAAGTCTTAATCCTCTCCCTCTCCCCCCTGCGGAGGAATTTTGAAAAATCCCTTCTTAGTGCACGCTTTCATGACGTACCCTAACTGTGTGCCAAATTTCACCTTTTTAGGTTCAGCGGTTTGCTCTGGGCGATGATGAATCAGTCAGTCAGTCAGGACAAGTAATTTTATATATTTAGATTTATATAGTATTGTTTTAATAATAACATAACTGGTACCTTAAATTTTTTGTTTTTAATTTAGGTTCTAACAAAGAAAATTAAAACTTTCAAAAATTTTAATTTTTTTTAATACAGTAGAACCTCGATTATCCGGACTAATTGGGGATGAAGGTAGTCTGGATAAGGAAAAATCCAGATAATCGAAACAAAGAAAAACAAAACACCTTTTTTGCTGAGAAATAAACAGAAGTAAGATAAGAGAAGGCTGTTTAAATGCTAGGGATTCCGAGAGCCTACCTTCGGCATGGAAATATTTGGTTAAGAAATTTACTACAAACTCCGACCAGAATTAATATGTTGAAGATTTATGTTATGTTTGTTTTATTGTTTTATTTTAATTTTTAAATATTCTTCCGTTATTTTTTTTCTCTTGTAAAATTTTTTATTTAAATTTTTATGTTCTATTCATGGAACATTTACGTTCCATTTTAGTTTTCAACCTGAAGATGGCCTATTAATTAGGCTGAAAACGTTTGTTGTTTAAAATTATGTTTATTTCTCGGCAAAAAAGGTGTTTTGTTTCTCTTTATTTAGTTGCTGAGCGCTTTTGATATTGTAACATCTTAAATGTTAAATTAGTTGACCGTTCTCATTATAATTATTAACATAAACCATCTTTACTGTTCTTGACAATGGTAATTTAAATTTAGATACAATATCTTAATTATACAAATTACATATTTGTAACCTTTGCTCTGTAAAAAGGTATGCACACTCTTTTCATCTGTTGTTTTATCTAATGCACGGGAGTTATAATTATCCCATACAATCTTCATATAAACACCTTGATAATGCAATTGTTTTTACAATTAATCCGTACATATCTTATTCCAATACAATAAATTATTATACAAATTTTATATAGTTGTGACCTTTGCTTTCTGAAAAAAGATATACATATCTTTTTCGTTTGTTACTTTATCTAATGCACGGAGGTTATAATTATCATGTAATTCTTGAGCTTCTTTGCATAAACAAAAAATATGAATTTTTTAGCATACATCNAAATTATTTATAAATACGTATGTCAAGTTATATTTTTATTACGATGCAAAATATATTTAAGAGTTTACGACCATTGTGCCGGGTGAGACGTTGTTGAAACAAAAAATGTTATGCATTCCATCACGTACATAAACAGTGTCATAATTCGCCAAGTGCAAATCAGCAAATTCGTAAAATTTTTGTTTATTTTGAACAATCCGGATAATCGAGGTTCTACTGTAATACTAAAGACAAATAAATAAAATATAATCCATAAATTTATTCCAACCTTATTTCTTTCTTTAATTCTTCTTCTGCATTTTTGTTATCTTTTGTTTCAATTTTTGCTTTAAATTTTCTAATTAATTCTTTGGAGTTTTTTTTCTTTACTGTTGAAAAAATTAATTAACTACAATAAATATATTTATAAAATAAACAATCAAATTCCTGTTTAAAATAATTTAAACGAAATAAAAATTATACAGCTACTTTAAGGCAACCAGAAGTTTTAAATAGATGAGAAACATTTTCAAACTATCCTATAGTCCAGCTTCAATTCATATAAAGGCCAAAGCCCATTTCGTTTGAGTTTTTGTCCATGTTTACAACTTCAGAATCATATAAATCTTTAAAACTTGGTACCATATCCTAAAAGTTACAAGAAAAATTCTCATCTATTAAAAATTTTGGTTGCCTTAAAATAGCTGCACTTTTACTTTATTTTTCACAGCAAAATTGATTTAGCTACAAGAAAATCTGCAAGTTTATTATTTAGCAAATAAAGTTTTTCAACAAACAGCTTTAGCTTTAATAAATCAAAACTTATATATAAATATCTCAATCTCAAAGAAACAAATAAATATCTCTCCATATTTTATATTTATTTTTAATCTTAATGAAACATCTTACTTTATATTATTATTTTTAAAAACCATCCTATATATAATTAATATGCCTTTTTCGTCCTTTTTTTTTTATAACTGTATTTAAAATTTATTTTGTATTACAAGTACAATCTATATATTAACAGGACTTATTATACTGGAATTATGGATGCAGATATTTAGTTTTACAGTTCAAAAATAATGTTCTTTATTTAGTTCACCTGAACACATACACTTTAAACATGTGTTTCGGACTTGCTCGTCCCTCTTCAGCAGGCCTTCCAACGACACTTTCTATAATTAACAACAATCAACAATAAAAACATTTTCGGTACAATTATCACTAAAACTAGTTAAGAACACAGACATTTCCCGACAATAAATATTTAAAAATTCTTACAATTTCTGTATTGCCTATCTTCACTATCCTTCCACCTACACTTACTATCCACAGCAACCATACGATTTGACACATTCCTAATTTTTTGACAATTAAAATCAATTTAAAACAATAAATTTAATCATTATCTAAAATATTATATCAGATCACTCACTTCGTTTGGTTCGTTTGTATCTGCTTACTTTTGTTTCTAATACATTCTCATTTCTTTTATAATGCTGACAACTGTACGAGCATTTAAATATAATTAATCAAAATAATAAAATGAATACCAACAGTGGTAGAGAAATCCACCAATCATGGTTAAGCATTATAAAAGGAAATGAGAATGTATTAGAAACAAAAGTAAGCAGATACAAACGAACCAAACGAAGTGAGTGATTTGATATAATATTTTAGATAATGATTAAATTTATTGTTTTAAATTGATTTTAATTGTCAAAAAAATTAGGAATGTGTCAAATCGTATGGTTGCTGTGGATAGTAAGTGTAGGTGGAAGGATAGTGAAGATAGGCAATACAGAAATTGTAAGAATTTTTAAATATTTATTGTCGGGAAATGTCTGTGTTCTTAACTAGTTTTAGTGATAATTGTACCGAAAATGTTTTTATTGTTGATTGTTGTTAATTATAGAAAGTGTCGTTGGAAGGCCTGCTGAAGAGGGACGAGCAAGTCCGAAACACATGTTTAAAGTGTATGTGTTCAGGTGAACTAAATAAAGAACATTATTTTTGAACTGTAAAACTAAATATCTGCATCCATAATTCCAGTATAATAAGTCCTGTTAATATATAGATTGTACTTGTAATACAAAATAAATTTTAAATACATCCTATATATAAGTTTGTAAATTTTCTCCTTACAATTTTATGTTGCATTGAGGAGATGCATGCACAAAATAAGTTCTAATAATCCTAAAAATATTGTTTTACATGTCACTGCAATGGAGAACAGCATCTGATCACATAATGAGTAATTTGTAAAAATGTATTATTGCACATATAGAATGTTCCATTTTTTAAATATTTTGTAACTTGTTCGTTCAATGTACAAAAACAGCTTTCTTGCCTGATGAAGGTCCCTTAAAGTAATTGGAAACATTTGTGTGTTCATTAAATTTTATGTGCTGGGTTAAGTATAAGAATTGTGAACTGTTTTTTAAGAACTCTTCTGTTGACAATTCAAAACATTACATTAGAACTCTCTGAATTAAGAGTTAGTTAATTGTATGAAGTATTCATCTAAAAATACATTCAAAACAATATATACTGTACTTTGCACATAAAATCATTTCCAGTTCTTTTTTTAAAAATTTAGAAAAAAACAAATTTTTAATATTTAGTTTTGAAAATTATCACTTATTATTCTCATAAATTACAAAGCATTTAAATTTTAACTTATTTTTTGAGAAATTTTATTAAAACAAATAATCAAAAAATTTTATTATTTACTCTTAATAATAAATGTTTTTGTTTTTAAATTCTTAGACTTCTTCTAAAAAACTAATTTTAATTTCTTACACTTCTAACAGTATAATATATTTTATATAATTTTTTTGACATTTCTAACAAACATATTAAGTTAACAAAGCATTAAAAACATGCTTTTGGCACACAGCTAGGACAATACTTCAAATGGATGTAGTGAACATGTTAAGCGAATGTTAAGGGAAGTACCTGGATTCAAAAACTTAGTGAGAAATTTGTAATGACTTTAAAATTATATGTATAGTATTGCAAGATCTGTAAGTTGTATGCAATACTCTACAGTCAACTAGTATCAAATGGAAAACTTACAGGTCTTGTATGCAATACCATATATAATTTTAATATCATTACAAATTTATCACTGCACAGAAACTTTTTTTTGAATACTCTAAATTACTATACATAAAACAAATTGCATATTAAATTTATGATGCTAATGATAACAATAATAAAAAAAATAATAAAATTTTAATCAGTATATCATTACATTATTAAGAAACAATACTTACATTGAGAAGAATTTTTTTTTAAATTTTCCATAGAAATTTTTAAAGTAACAGATTTTTTATTTCTTGGTGTACATTTATCTAAAGTGACATTCTCATCAACAATTTCATGTTCAGTAGACAGCTCTTTATTTCTTACATCAATATTTCTTGTTTCACATTTTTCTATTTTTAAACAAGAAGTGTCCTTATGTGACTCATAAGATAACTTATCACTGAAGGAATGGTTCATTTTATGTCTCTTTCTAGATTCAAAAAAGTTAGTGATCCTGTCTTTACTTGAAGATTCTCTTTGTTTAGTAGTTAAGGCATTACTTAGATTTTGAAATGATTCGCTTCGATTTTTTACATATTTTGATTCAAATGCTGATACTAGTAAAAACAAAAATCTATATTTTTATTAATGAAATGTTTAAGTTAAAAATAAAGATATTAATTTAATGTAGAACTACTTTTAAAAACAAATGACTATTTAAGGTTAAAGAAATAATACTGTAAAAGAGACTTATTCAAAATATTTTTTGAAAAAAAAGAATATATTATAAATTTCTGTTATATAATTACTACATTTTAATGCTTAAATCATTTAAATGAACAATAGGTAAACTATAATAATCTGAAGAAAATATGAACATATTTTTCAGTATAAAAATATTTAAAAAAAAGAAGTAAGTTTTAAAAAAGAACTATGAACATTCAGTAGGCATAAAAAACAACAGGTGTGTCAAAGAAAACAAAATAGTATCACAAACACCTGGAGTGTGGGGATTAATTTTAAAACTGCTGAATTAACTTCTATTTATGTAGAAGTTTAGACCATAAAGCCGGATGCACACATGCGGCGCGGCAAGGAAAAGTGGTGACGCAAACGCATCTTCGCCGCACGGCAGCACAACCACACAAGCGGCAATCCGCTTACATTTCGGCGCATGCGTCCAGTATTCAAGATGGCGAACGATATCCACGTGTTTACACACTGTCCCTATCCACGTGTTTACAAATTTTGTTTTGTACGGCTCGCTTTATTTAGCTAAAAGATTTTGTCGAAGATTTGAATTAGAGATACTTTTTTGGATCGAGAAAGAACTGGTGTACAAAATAGACTTATTCGTGGATCAAGATCTCTCGATAAAGAATACTATTTCGAGTAAGATTCGGTTGTTTTGTTCTTTGAATTAAATTATATATGATTATTTGTGTAGAATTTGTTTTAAATTTGTTATCCTTTCCTCTTTATTCTGATTTTAATTATCTCGGTTAACCGCCTCGAACTTTCCGCCATTAAAACACCACGTGATTGTATTTTCTCACGTGACTACGAGACAAACTGTTATTGGCTGATAGAAACGCGTCTTGGCGGCGTTGCCGCAAAAGATAGAATTTAACCAACTTTTGCGGCACGAGAAAAGCGGCACAAAATCGACTTCTGCGGCGAGAAAAAGTGACGTCATTCTGCCGCTTTTCCTTGCCGCGCCGCATGTGTGCATCCGGCTTAAAACTGTGAATATTAAAGATTCCAATTTCTTACTTATACTTTCAAAATAAGGAAATTTCTTATTTTGTGTAAGAAACGAAAAAATACTATCTTTTAGGAATTAATTCAATGACATCTTATCCATATTTATTTTAACATATTTAGTATTCATATGTTGTAATTCCATACAAAATTCTTATTTTGTATTAACATTGCTTCCATTTCTTTCTTTATTATTTTTTTATATTTAAATTTCCCTATTAAATTTTTGCTAAAATTTTGTTTTTACAACATTAAAAATATGAACATGAACAGTACTTGAAAACATAAGAAACTTTTGAATATTCTTTTTATTTCAAATAAGATATATTTATCTTAGTTTTGTTCATATAATCTGTCCTCATAAATTGTTTAGTGCTTGGGTGCTTGTAAAATTAAGTTATTTTGTAAAGATCAATTATCAATAGTTTTGATCTATTTTTTTAATTAAAAGTATATAAAATTTGATAAAATTTCAATAAAATCTTAGCTATCTCTTATTTTTTTATGTTCAGATTTAATATTAGGTTTAAAAAATAATCAAAATCTGTTTCTGTATATAATAAATCAATTTTATAATTTAAATGATAATTGTCTTAATTCAATGTTCTCTGAACAGAAAGTACAAGTAATATAAAAACTATATTCTCATTTTTAATTTATTTTCAGAAGATAGAAAAAAGAAGCATAAATCCATTTTATGCAGACTATTAATTTAAAAAATGCATAAATTAAAATAAATTATTTAAAATTGAATATATGATTGGAAAAGTCAATCTAAATCAGTAATTCTCAATGTTATTTGATCTGTGGATCACTTAAGTTGAATCACAGACCAGCTATTCTCTGGCTATTTCCTATCCTGTTAATATCATCTTACATGTGTGCTATAATATTTTGTCTGTCCAGTAAACTAATGTGGGAGATATATGATGCATAAAAATGTTTTCTTTAAAATTGCATTTTGGAAAAATGATTAGATCCGTCCACACGGATCATACATTACAAAGAGTCACTAATATAAATTATAGCATTTTCAATAATAAATTGAGTTGATTGTAACAATAACATAAAACAATTGCCAAATTAAATATTAATAATTTATAAACTTACACTTATCTGGTAATGAAGTATTTTCATTACATATATTTTGAGAATGTAAAAACACTGACAGTGATCTTTTTAAGTTTCCATGCTGTGATTAAATAAAACAAAATTACATTAATTATTCTATTAATATAAGCCTTTATATACTAAAATACTTACTTTAAGTTGACTGTCACTCTGAATTTTTGATTTTGTAGGAAAAGAATTAGAATCTAAAAAATTAAATATTCAAATTAGAATTTTTAATGTCATTCAATATAAAATATTTGATATTAATGACATATTACCAATTTTATTTTTATGACATTGCATGCTACTTAATACTGACTGTTCAGGTTCATAAATCTTTATCAAGGATGTCTTCATTATCATAAAAAATAAATTACAAAGTTTTATAATTGTAAAAATAATATAAAATAAAAAAATATTAATACAAATACCTTAATAATTGCAAGCAATAACTTTTCATTTTGTACAAATATTTTTCTTTTATCAGGTGTTACATTCATATCAACATTTTCTAAAGACAATAAAATACATAACTTTCTAAGACTCAAAGATATTGATAACATATATAAATAATAAATTTTCTTTAATATTATATTAAAAGAACTTTTCTTAATTTTTAAATTTATTTTGTAATATGTATATGTGTATATATATATATATATATAAAATCTGGCAAAACTGAACCTTCTTTTTGTCTCTGTGAGTGATAATGAATATATTAAAAAACAACATTGTAGTTTTTATACTTAAACTAGCAGATCCGTCCATGCATTGTTGTGGCTCAAAATGTATCTATTATAAATGTATAACACTTCCCCCGTGGGGGGGGAATTTTTCGAAAAATTTCTTCTTAGTATACATTCTCTTGACATACCCTATTAAAACGCAATCAAAAACGCAAAAACCCGCATCTAAAATAGTATAATAGAAGCAGGGTTCTTTACAGTAAGCCTTAATCCTAACCATCTCCCTTAAGTGGGAGGGATTTCAACACGTATATTATATAAAAACACGTGCGTATTTGAATGCAGCATTGTGTCAAAATTTCAAAGGAATCAGTAGGAACAAACGAACATTACATTTTTATTTACATAGATAGATAGAAAATTATCATTTTCACAGAAAAGCAAACTTAGGGCATCGTACTCGTAGCGCCATCTGTTGGACATAAAAGCCTTAACCTTGATTATATCTTTTAACTTATATGAATGTTTAACAAAATAATATACAGCCTATGTCCACCCTGAAGTTCCATTCTAAATATTGGTGAAATAATTTTTGAAATCGGATGAGTAGTTTCGGAGATTACCCACTACATCCAAACTTAGCATTACCTCTTTATAATATTAGTATAGATAAGATCATTCAAGAGTAAATCATAAATTATATCTAGTTTTAAACTTTTATTTTACTCATGTTGAAAAACATATAAAACTATAAAATATTTGAAATATTTATATTAAAAATATATTTCATATTTTGAATATTTCAAAAGTAAATAAGTAAATATTTCAAATATTATTTCTATACATTTTGTACTCAACAAAACGAACATCTTAATTAATCAGGTTATAAATTTGCTATTATTAACAATTAGATATTAAGTAATTTGTACTACAGGTAGACATTAGGTGCCATCTCTAATCTAAATTAATAATTATAATTTTTAATATTTTATTAAATAATTTGGAACCACCTGGAAGAACTAGCCTGGAGTGGGACTTGAACCTGCTACCTCTACTTACTGTATGGTGCGCTTGTCACTTATGCCATTCGGAAGGTAGCAGAGGTAGCGGGTTCAAACCCTGATCTAAGCTAGTTCTTTTCTTTCTTCTAGGTGGTTCAAAATTATTTAATAAAATATTAAAAATTATAATTATTAATTTAGATTAGAGATGGCACCTAATTTCTACCTCTAGTACCAAATTACTTAATATCTAATCATTAATAATAGCAAATTTATAACCTGATTGATTAAGACATTCATTTGGTTGAGTATCAGTATATCGGACTTCGGAAAGTTTATTATATATACCAGACATGGGCAAATGCAGCTCTTTTTTGAGTTACATGCAGCTCTTGCTGAAAGTGTTAATTTCTGCTTTTTATTATTATTTTTACAATTTTATTTCCACAATTTTGTGAAAATATGTTTATTAAAAAAATTCAATATTTGTTTTATATCATATTTATATTATATAATAAAATTTCAGTACAGAACTGCAGTACAGAATAAAAAAGTACAGAACTGTGGCTCCTATGCATTTTGCAAAATCTACATTTTGGCTCCTACTGAACTCTTGCTTGTCCACTCGATATATACATATTTTTTATGCATCTATTCATTTTGAAACAGGCTATATCAGAGACACTAAGGAAAAATTACCAAATGGAAGAAATTCATACAATGAATAATATAACCTTTTAAATCCAGCACTAATTACATTTTTCAACTAAAATATTTTCATGCTAGCTTTATAGTTCTTCATCAGATTTAAACTTAAATCAAATGAAGGTATACTAGTGTTCTAAAATGTTTAACTGCAGATTAAATACTTTAACATAAACTACAACAAACAGTTTACAGAAAAAAATTTAAAATGTTTCATAAAATTTGAGTATGCAGACTTTTACATCATTATTAAAGCTAGGACATCCAGTCACTAAAAGTAAGTTATATAACTCATGTAAGTTATAATGTATACAAGGAATATGAATGATAACTTATATGATTTTTAGTGCCTAGATGTCCTAGCTCTAGTCATTATTCATTTATCTTATGTGCTGATCTTACATTCAAAAAGGATGAAAGCATTTCAACTATCTAATATAATTGAATTGTGCTCAAATGTAATTGTCACTATTTTTCTTAAAATTTTATTTCTTTGAGAATGACTTCATTTAACCATAAATTGAACTTAATTCATAGAAATCAGCATAGATATAAGATGAACTATGGTATTAAAACAACAATACTAGAATATTTTGAGATAATAGTAGATAACTTATATGTATCCCACATAGTCCCATTTGTCTCAATAGGTCTAACAAAGGCTTTTTAAATTAAATTTATTATGTGTGTTCAATTTACAAACATACAATTTTTCTATATTATTAATTTCCCAATAAATTATTATCTAACAAAATTTATGTATGTTTTAACATAATATTTTTCAAAATATATTTATATGCATTTTTCATTCTTTTGATTTCTTTTATCAAAAATATGACTTTCTTCTTATACACATATTAAGTCTTATAACAAGATTTACATACAGCAGAGAAGAGCCTTGGGAAAATGGCAGAGAAGCCTTGGGAAAAATATATAAACAGAGAAGAGCCTTGGGAAAATGGCAAACTCTACTACGTGACTGTTGATTCTTAAGGTGCAAGAAAGGACAGAATGTAATATGAATTTCTTTTTTTAAAAGTTTTATATGTAACTAGCTGCAAGGACCTGCTTCGCTGGGTTTTTATTTGTATGTAATATAGTTTTTTTTATATATATAAAAGACTGTTTTTCTAAGTAATCTAGAATCTAGCAGCAAGGACCCGCTTCACTGGGCAAAAAGTAACGATAGTGAAGATTAAGATAATTACATTATAGCTAATCTTACCCGTTTTCACAGAATGCAAGAATTAGGTCCCCTGTTTCCAGACTAATTAGAGAATTTTTACGTTTAGTCAAACAAACTATTTTCAACGTTTCTGGAACGTTTACAATCGTTCTATAATTGAACCAATATTCGAATTTTATGTTCAAATTTAATTCGAACAAAACATTTGAAATAGAAAGCCACTTTCAACCACTTTCAGCCTCATATCTCCCGCACCCTTATAGCTATCAAGACGCAACCACCCCTATGCACGAATGGAGACTTGGGGCTACCACCACATACAAACACCATTCATGTGCGATGTGTAGTTTTTGCGGAAAAGTGAAATATAGGGACACACACGTCCATTTTTATATATATATATAGATTATAGAACTTTTAATTCCATTTGTCCATGGATTTTTTATTTAATCTTATATACAAAACTTTTACAAAAAGATGGCACTGAATATTTTTGTATTCAGAGATAAATGATAATTTATTCATAAACATTAATTTTGGAAAAAGTATTTTCCAAAATTAATGTTTTTGAAAATGTTCATGAATAACTAAGATACTTTTATATCGAAAAACTAAGATACTTTTATATCAAACATGAATGTTTGAGACAGAGAAGAACACATACAAATTTAAATAAAACGATTTTTTGGACGACATTCGATATGAATCTGCTACGATTTTGAAATATGTACGATGATACGAGTGTGATGTAATACAGCACATGCGTGGTACTGCTTCCCGTCAGTGATGTGACATATGATGTAAATTGCCATTTAATCGTTTGTATAGGACAATCCATATATTGGGCAGTTCCAGAGTAGGTGTGTTGCATGTTTCCAACGTTGCTATATATAGCGACTCCCATATAAAGAGTAGTCTTTGGTCGTTGCAAGTCCTGAGTATAGTAGTGTGTGCCTATTCCTGTCATATACTCTTCTTGCAAGTTCAGTGCTGCACCTTCCTTTTGCTATATCATCCTGGTGTTTGGTCAAGTGGGTAGCCAACATTCTTGCTGTGGCCCCAATGTATCTCGTACTATTCCCTGTTACAGGATTTTCTAATGGAACTGCATAAATTCCTAACTTCTTAAAGATGAAGAACTTGTCTCGGTCATTGCAGAGGAGTGCACAAGTTAGGTAACGGAGAAAGGGGCAGGAGCAGACCATGTTGTTTAAACATGTGGCAAATGCATAGAGAAAGCAGACCGAGGTATGGTAAGGCTGGTTGTACGAGTGTAACTTCCCTCCTGTTAGTTAACGTGGAGCTTAGAAACAGTGTCTTCTTGACTCTGTTGAGTACATGTGTATACTTAGCACATGAGAAACCCACTGCACGTACCGCTAAGCTAATATTGTTTAATTCACTGTTTATAAGATCTTGGATTGATGGCAGCAAAAACGCTCTTCTCAGTAGAGCGGCAATGGCGGCATCAACATAACGTGCAGGTTGGAATGCATCTGCCGGGATGATGTGTGGTAGCATATTAAACTTATGTTGAACTGAGAAAAGTAGTGTTTCTGAGGTTCTACATATGCACAGATCTAAGAAAGCTGTAGCCGCATTACTTTCTTTTTCCCACGTAAAATTGATGGAGGGATATACATTAGAGACATACCACATGAAGATGAAAAAGGCTTCATTGGTGCCCTCCCAGGCTATGAGGATATCATCCATGTAATGTAAATAGAGTAGTGGGTAAAGGATGGTGAGAGGGAAATGAAATGTTCTATGCTCGATTTCTGTCATGACGAGCTCCGCTAGGGTGGCAGATAAAGGGGAACCCATGAGGACTCCTTGTTTTTGTAAATAAATCTTTTGATTGAAACGAAAATAATTGTGTTTTGTGATGAAAAACAGCGCATCATGTATGTCCAATATCTGCCGGGCACTAAAGCCCTTCTTAAGGAGTAGTGAATTGACCAGCATTACAGCTTCCAACGTTGGCACCGAAGGATACAATGCCACCACATCTAATTTATAGAAGGTGTAGGTGCTTGTTTGCACCGCACCAATGCTTGCAGTGATGTTGGATGTAGCGGCCAAGGATGAGGGGGTAACATACGTTGAGTCTGGAATCAACGCACATAGAAACTTAGAGAGTGTTTTTTCTAAAAAGTAAGTGGGGTGCGATCTCTTATTGACTAGTGGTCGTAATGGCCAGTCCACCTTATGTGTTTTTGGCTCAAAAAATAATCTGGGACATGCAACATTGGGTGGGGGAGTCAAGGCATCCAGTTAGGGACAACACTACCCCTGGTAAGGCTATGATTCTCCTTGTTTTTCATAGGATCGTTGATGTAGGATGCTCACTTATTACTGTGGAACATGATTGGAAGAGAAACTCATTGGCTCTAAGGAGAAAATCATCTTTACACAACACAAACTTTTTGTCTTTGTTCAAGACTAGAAGCCTTAAGTCAGCTTTAGCGAGGAAATGTGTAACCGTTTGGCAGTCTACATGGTGCCTGTACACATCAGGTGTTTGTTTCACTGATGCAAGCTTCATAATTATCGACAACTCCATTTGTGGTTATTTGATTGTTTCCTGGCACAACTTAAGTGCTGCCAATGATGCTGGGACCAACTGGCCAAGTTTGGTGTTAGGAGGAGGGATGTATTTGAGCCCACTCGATTTCTCTCATGACGAGCTCCTTGCAACGACCAAAGACGAGCTCTTTATATGGGAGTCGCTATATATAACAATGTTGGAAACATGCAACACACCTACTCTGGAACTGCCCAATATATGGATCGCCCTATACAAACGATTAAATGGCGATTTACATCATATGTCATATCACTGACAGGAAGCAGTACCACGCATGCACTGTATTACATCACACTCGTAACATCATATGTGTTTGAAAATTCATACCACGCATGCGCTGTATTATATTACATTCGTATCATCATACATATTTCAAAATCGTAGCAGATTCATATCGAATGTCATCCAAAAAATCATTTTATTTAAATTTGTATGTGTTCTTCTCTGTCTCGAACATTCATGTTCGATATAAAAGTATCTTATTCACCTGAAGACGGCGGAAATACATTCGTTGAGAGTGCTCGAATGAAAAACACTTAATAACGCCGCACACAGTGAGTTTTACTGCTTATTAATTAAACTTCCAAATAACAAAGTCCTTAAATCATCACAACATATTTACTAAAAGAAAATTTTATTCAGATTCAATAATGTTGAAATCACTGAAATCTAATCAGTACAATACTACAAAATAAAATAAATAAATAAACTACAATACAAAAATATAACCATTTCAAAGTGAACAACACACAAATGTGAAAAAAGAGTAGGTTACTGAAAAATATGACATGTAAGTGTGAAATCATATAAATTGAAAACATATAAATGAAGTGTTTTATAATGGAGAAAGTACCAAGCAGAAAATATTTAATGTATAATTGTAAAAAATGTGTAACTGAGAAACATATAAATGGATTTGACTGTATTTTGATCTAAAAAGACTAAATAAAAACTTTCATTTGGCACAAAATACCTCAGTAACTCAAATTATAGGAGCAATAATTGAAATTTTAGTAACAAATCAGTATTTGCAATAACTCAAGAACAGTGCTAATCAAAATTTGCAATAACTGGGGGTTTCCCTGTATTATGGAAAAAGAGATAGGCCCTGAATGGAAGTCAAACCCACAATTCCTGTTTACCATGCCGATATGCTACTTAGATCTTTGTCTGAGTACTTGGATCTCTAATTCACCTTCAGCTTAGAATGCAATTAAATACCAATCATCATCTATCATTTTTTTTTAGTATGGTTGATTTTCTGACTCAAAAATGAAAATTTCAATTATTATGTACAAGTATTCGAAAAGAACTTCCTGGTTTCAAAAAATTATTCTGTTTATTGCAAACTAATACTAACATACAATATAAGGTATATTTCTAGAAAAACTCTGGAAGTTTTTTGAGACAGTTAAAGATGCTGTTTGACTTCCTTGCATGACACAACAGATAGTGTAATATTCTAATTCACCTCAAACACAGTGCAGTATGCCCAAGTCAATGATGATGATTGCAGTGTTAATTAACATGATCCCATAGTTCATTCAAAGTGATAGCTTAACATAGACATGATCTTTCACATAGTCGCACAAGAAAAATCACAGGGCATCAGATTAGATCTGTGAAGCCATGCCATCAGCATGTTATCCTCTGCTGCCATATTGTATGCTTCTAGCAGTAAAGTATGAAACCAGTGGTGTGCTGAACTACTTGCATAAAAACTTGTGGACACAAGACAGATGTAAACCCTTATAATGACAATATATTGTTTCCTATGTTCCCCACAATAAAATCATGAAACCAGGAAGTTCTTTTTGAAAAGCCCTGTATTTTTTGTGTTTACAAAAAAATTTAAATTTAAAAACTGATAATAAGTTAAAAATTATCTTTAGGAAAAAAACCAATTTAAAACGGAAAGTAAAAGAACATTTTGCTATAATTATGCAAAATAACGATGTAAATTTGAATATGAGAATGTTAACAGCAGAATGCTGTAAATTTTTTGTAAATTATATAAGTGGTTTCTCTTAATAAGTTTTTGTTGGAGCATGAACTGTGTACGATTGGACCTACTGAAGAGGCCTTCCATAAGCAAAATGCACTTAGAAGGTTTGTTAATGTAAATAAAAGTTCTCTTTGCAAGTTGATCTCCTTTTTTACCTTTCTTAACTTTATTATTTTTTATTCATTGTTGATACAATGTTTTAAAAAATTTCTTTGAAGTTATAAGATATCCATAAGTCAGAGGAGAAAGAAAAATATATTTTTTTTGTGTATTTNAAATCTCTTTCTAACTCTTAAAAATTGCTAACTTTAGTTTTTTAATGTACTATATGATATTTATATATTTCAAAGACCTGAATTCAGTTATTTTAATTTAATTCTTTTATATCAGCTAATTTTATATTTCTATCACTAAAATAAGTGTTGTAGTACTTTAAATTGCAAATTAATAATTAAAAATCAATGCTAATAGAGCAATTCTAAAGTTTTATTTGTAATGGTGATTCATTATAGTTAGTACATATTCGTAATTATTTTAAATTAGTAGTATCATCTCCATACTTCATCTGGGATAAGCAAAGGAAAAATGTCATTTTTCCTTTGCTTATCTGGGATAAGCAAAGGAAAAATGTCATTTTTCCTTTGCTTATCCCAGATGAAGTATGAATAAAATACAATGGAATTTTCATTATCTAGATTTATTAACAAGCTTAGTGCTGAAGACAACACCAATGTCCTGCTGAAGATGGCCCAACCTCAATGTTTTACATCAATATACTGTGTTGCTGTAAGGACTTGCTGTTCAGCTATTCTCAAACATTCTCAGTGCCTGAGAATAGCTGAACTGTATGTCCCTACTGGATGATTTGCCTTGACAGCATTACTTTCCATTGGATTTTGGTCATCTGTCTCCCCAACTGTTATCATAACTGTTGAATATCTTGACTAATTGCTTTGAAAATATGATCTCCACCTATTTATCTATGTTCTACTTGAGCCAAAACTTGACACTTCTTTTGATTTGAAACGAACAAAATCTATTAAAGTTTCATATTCAGTTGCTTCTGATTCTTTAGTCCATTGATTACAGTAGATAGTAGATAGTCTTGAAACATGTAGTCTTTCCAGAAATTTAGTTTCTTCTAATGAGAACTGAACTTTTAATGAAATTTTTCTAGACTGAATACAAATTTCTGTAACAGGAGTTCTTTAATAAAGCTTGTAATCATCAACTTGCTCTACTGATTTGCAAATGATAAGCTGCAAACTGTATCAGGTTCAATCAAAATGAGTAATTCAATTTTTGATCTTGGTATTCAAATATAATTAAGCATAACTTTCCAATACTGGGATTTACTAAACACATACAACATACCAATAATAGCATACTTGAAATATACATATTTTTACTAACAAACATTTTCATTTGTTTATAACAGATATCTTCAGGTATATAACAAGAACAAAACAGACACATTAAAATTGAACAAGACTTTACAAACAACTTACAAGTCCAATTTAAAATTATTTCTCAAACAAATTATGTCTAAATGTTTAATTAAGTTTAAATGCCTTAAGATTTTCTTTAAAAAATTACAACCAAGGTTTTGAAGATCTCCAACACTCCCCTTGCAAATATTTTAAGACTATCCTCAATGAAAGTCATGCTTCCCATACTTCCATGCATATTTGCATTTGCAAAAATGTATAAAATGGTCAACAGTTACATCCAGTGGTGGATAAGACAGTTTAACCCACCATAAACATGGAGAGACTACTCAACAAATACATCAATTGTCATCTTGAGGAACACTCCTACACTATCACCAGTCTGAAAAAGTACTGAAGAAAACTTCGAAATCTTGACACTTTAAGCAATACAAACTTCACAGTTTGTGATTATGAAATATTGTTCCCATCAATAAAACTTGTTTTTGCAAGCTTGGGGATTTTCTTTTAAAAAATGTACAGGATGTTGTTTTGATGAAGATTTGAATTCCAATGTTTCACCACATAAAAGTCATTCTGAATAAAATCCAAAGTAAACTAACTTCGACAGAAGATTCATTTCAATCAGTGTTGATTATTGAATCCTCTCTGAACCAATCTCTCTCTTCATACTGGCAATCTTTGTTAGATCCCACTTGCTGCCACCAAATGATAAAAGCTGTAATACAGTCGATCCCCCTATAAGATCATTGATTTTTCCGTTTTATCTGAATTACATGTTGTACGAGTCACTTAGATTTTACAAATACGTGTGCCGGGCTGTGAACGGCTCACATATTTGTAAAATCTAAGTGACTCGTACAACATGTAATTCAGATAAAACGGAAAAATCAATGATCTTATAGGGGGATCGACTGTATTCTGCTGCAAAATAAACTCACAACGGAGTCAATAAACACAAAATTTATGATGCAACAACAAAGAATTCTCAATAAAACAGTCAGTATTCTTCAATTTGAGTAATTGATAGTTTGAAGATTCCAAATCAAACTGAACTACCATCTCTCAGTGAAAATAATCTTTCTTACAATTTTTTATTTTCATATGAAAATAAATTTCAGTAAGAAAGGTTTTCCTTAGCTTAGTGTGTATATATATAATTGTGCATTTAATTCATTTAACATGAATTTAGTCTTTACATAATAATAAAAAGTTAAATTTATACCTTTTGCAATTCACATGGTCTGCCATTAATAAAAAAGTACTGTCTATCAGAAGAACTGCGGCCTTGTCCATGCTGACAACTGGAGATGTAACCTTCAATTCTGAATTAAAGTTATGCAGTTATTTATTAATTTTTACAATTTAATTAAAACATATTTTTATCTTAAAAATTAAAAAGTGTTATATATAAGTAAAGGATCATTAAAATGTCATAAATGACTAAAAATATCTATTTAGAAGCTTATTTCAATTTTTGGTCATTAATAATTTTTAACATATCAAGTTAACATTTTTAAAATATAAAAATTTAATATATAAGAGATAATTAAAAGAAAATTCTGAAGAAAATTTATTTTTAAGTATGTTGTAACTTAGGATTATTTTTTATATTACTACATTAGATATTAACAATTAAAAAAAATTAAATATAAAGCAAATATCTGGGTTCAACATGATAGATTCCAATATACAGGGGTATCATAATTAAAAAGTAGGTGTTCAGAGCTCTCCGTAGAATGTAATTTACTTTACTTTAAATCATTTACTTAAATCACTACTTAATTTAATTTTAATTATTTTCTTAGAATTATGAATCAGAAAGCTTTCTGATTAATCTAAACATCTTACTAATTTTAAATAAACTGTTATCTTTAAATGTTGATACAATTATACAGAAATATTCCACATAGTATAATTAATGCATTTCAGAAAGTTAGTACACTAACTGGAAAATATATTTAATAAGGAAACAGACAATTCATTAAAAACGTGATTCTTTTCTTGAAAAATAATAAAAAATGACTTAATAACAGACCATAAAATTCATGAAAACAACAAGATGTAATGAAGAGATGCTATTAACATTAAATTTTTACTACTTTATTTTCCAACTAAATTTTTAAATGCTTTTATTAAGAAATAAAAAATAATCTGATGTTATTTGATCTTGCCTTACATTCTATTTTTCTGCATGTTGACAGCACTAAATTGCATTTTCTAAAAATTTTTATGTATTAATACCATTTTCTTCATTTGAATTGCTATGGGGTGCATTCAAAAAGTAAGCACCATTCATGTAAATCGCCCATGCATTTTGGCAATGTCAAGGTTGTGCATGCATAGTTACTTCTTCCACTCAAGAACAAAATAACTGAGTCACATTTGTTTTTCTTATTCATGTTGAGGATCCCTAAGCATCAGTTATAATGTCGAAAACAATCAGTTGTGAAATATGATTGATAATTAGGTTTTTGGATGTGAGAAATGTTCAACCACACAAAATTTACTGGTATATTTGTGAAATTTACAGACTAAATGTGATAAGTGAAGATATGGAGAGAAAATGTGTTAGAAAGTTTAACAAAGAAGAGACAACATTCATGACAAGAAGCATAGTGGTCCCATCCCTAGTCAATGAAGACTTGCTGCACAATGTTGAAGAGAATATTCATTTTGTTAGATAGTCCACAATTTCTGATTTGTCTCTATAATTTCCTGACATTTCAAGATCTGTGCTGCATGAAATTGTGACTAAACACTTGCACTTCAAATGTTGTGTTTGAGATGGGTGCCAAAAATGATGATGGACATTCACAAAAAATGCATGGGATTAGCCCTAGAATTTTTGCAGTGGTATGAAGGGAAAAAATGGATTTTTGAAAAGAATTGTCACTGATGATGAAACATAGATTTGCCACAACACCAGAAAGCAAACAACAATCATTGCAACATCCAGAAACTGAGTTACAGACGGCAGAATTCTATAAACAGGACATCTGCAATTTAGTGCCAAGATATGACGTGCTTCAATTTGCATGATGATTATGTTACAAAGTAGATTTTAAATAGCCAAACATTACTTACTTTCTGGATGTGTCATTTATTTAAAATTATGTCAAAGTATACCCTAACATGTACTATACCCTAAACAGTAAGATTTTTCATTTTATATAATTAATTAATTAATTATATAAAATGCTATACCTGAAAAAATTTGTTAAATCCACTTCTGCAGGTGAAAGAGAATACTCTTCTATTATCTCTGTGGATGGGTGATGAACAGTAAATTCAACTAAACTAGAAAGCTAAAAAACCAAATGTTAAAACTAAACAATCAATGCATTTTAAAGAAATAAAATTAGTAATTTTCCAAAAGGTAGATCATGCTAGCCTTACTACCATTATATGATGTCATCTTTCTGTAATATATACTTTTAAAAGTTTTTTTATCGTATTATTTAATATTCTAATTCACATTCCAAATAATAATCAAATCTGATAATTTTCATAATTTTCTAAAAGCATTAAACAAAATATAAAATGTAATAATTATTTTTAATACAGTATCAGACCAAATATTCAGCAAGCTTGGGACTGAAAGTGATCCAGATATCTGGATTTTCCAGTTTTCTGGACACAGAATAAATATATGATTAAAATATAAAATAAACAATAGAAAATAAAAAAACAAAATTGTATCTAACATGTTGTCTGTCAGCAGTCACACTAAAACTGACACTATGTGACATGTACAGTACAATGTGACATCATGAAAACCAAAACAAAACAGGTATGTGGCAAATTACAACTGTACTAAAGCCTGCCAAAATCAAAACTAGTTGATTTTTGAGAAGCCCAATATTTGGTCCAGTTCTATACTAAGAATTTTTAATTCCATAACAGCAAAAATAAAATCTGACAACTTATATAATGATAAACAATTCCTTGTTACTCAAAGTCAAATATGTTACATGATAAAAAGAAACTCAGTTTTTCAACACATTAACAGAAATTTAATGACTTTAAAATTAACTTACAAACAATTCTCACAAGCACTTTGGACAGTTATTCACATTTGTCACCTTCAGACTATGAATTAGCTATCAAAAGTGCTTGAGAAAATAATTAAAGTTTATTAAAGTTGTTATATTTTTGTTAACAAGGAAAAACAGTTTATTGTATAATATTATGTTTTTATATTTTAAATACAGTGGGTGATCGGTTAACAAACATAATCCATTCCAAGACTTTGTTCGCTATCCGAATTGTTTGTTAACTGATTATTGATTTACCATAGGTTTTAATGGGAATTTAATTAATTCGTTCTGGAGACCCTCCAAAATAAAAAATATATACTTTCTTACTACATTTATTTATATGTAATAATTAAAATACATACGTACACAGTCTTGTGTTTTATTAGTCATCTTTTTTCAGTTTGAAAGGGTTAAAGAATCTGTCTAATGTCGATTGCTTTTCTCTGTTTTTCAGGATTTTTCGTAAGTAATTAATAGCATTGCAATTGTAAAAATCCCCAAGCCTCAACCTGATTTGGATGCCATTCTAAGACCGTTGTTCTGACATCCTCACACTTCTTCAAAGGATCTTTTAATAACAGATATTGCCATTAATCCTCTTTTTCAGAAGAAAACATATCTCACCGAGTTTCTTGGTGTTCTTCATTCAAGAGTTCATGGCGTTCTTCTGGTCATCAGATCTGTTTCAGGTTCCATTATGAACTCTTCAATGTTCTAATTTTCTCAAATGTAATTTTTGTTACTCCTTTAACTGCTTGAGTCTTCTTGATTATATAGTATTTTTCTTAAAAAAATGAACTGCAGCCTACTGTAGACCTGTTCACGCCATACTGCCCAGCAACATTAGGCATCTTCTGCCCACTCTTTACCTTTGCTATTATACTCTCACCTTACAAAAAAACAGACGCAAAACTTAACGAGTGCCTACCCGACAGTCTTGCGAATACATAAAAGAATTATTTTGTCATAAAAATAAAAGGCTGGAATTATAAGGGAGAGTTTTAAAGTTCGGAGGAATACTATCCGATCAGTATATACTGGCTTGAGCATCGATGTCGACATCTCCCACACTCCAAAAAGTTTCGAATTGTTGCCCAAAGACAAGGAAAGTCCAATCAGTATTCATTATTTTACGTTGCTTCTTCTTGTGTTTGTTCTGTGAAGTGTTTGTTATCCGATCATGTGTTTGTTGTCCGAACATAAAAATCTTTCACGAAAGTGTTCATTATCCAATTTGTTCGTTGTCCGATTTGTTTGTTAACCGATCATCCACTTTATATCTACAAGCTATAAATCTTATTTATCCCATGTCTCATTGAGACTTCATCTACACCATCAGTTCTCAACTAGTGTGCCACAAAAACATTCAAAGCATGCAGTAAGATGAATTAACAAATTAAAATAACAAATTTTAAAATTTGTAAAAAAAAATACAAAAATGCATTGGTATGCATTATCAACTATACATCAAAAACTTGTAGCAACCAAGAATTATAGAAAAGATATTAGATGCAGACAGAAATCATGTTCTGTACATGATTTCAATATGTTTATAAGGTTCATTGATTTGCATTTTTTCTGACATGATTTCAACATGAATCTGGAGAAGTCCTAGCAAATGCATTTTTGATTTCCAATAAATAAAGATGCACAAATAATTTTTCTGTAATTTCCTTTTAACTTCTAACTTGTGTTAAAATTTGCCACAATTCCTGAGTATTTCTTATCAGTTAAAACATTACATCTTTTTCTTTTAAATTAAAAATCTCTTTCTAACTCTTAAAAATTGCTAACTTTAGTTTTTTAATGTACTATATGATATTTATATATTTCAAAGACCTGAATTCAGTTATTTTAATTTAATTCTTTTATATCAGCTAATTTTATATTTCTATCACTAAAATAAGTGTTGTAGTACTTTAAATTGCAAATTAATAATTAAAAATCAATGCTAATAGAGCAATTCTAAAGTTTTATTTGTAATGGTGATTTAATAATTAATGGAATAAACTTCCCAGTCTGCCATGAAAAAAATAAACCCACATTATGCTGCTTAGGATATATAAAATTTCCCATTTTCATGAAACAGTTACATAGACTAGAAAAGGTTGGAAACTAATTATAACAATACACCTGAATTTTTGCCGAGCATAAAATTATTTTATTTCAAACGTTTTCAATCTATTTAATCTATTTATTATAGGCCATCCTCAGGCTTATGATTATTGTTCCAAAATAGAACGTAACATTTTTCGAATAAGTTTCATTTTTAAAATTTAAAGATTTAGAATGACTGTGTATATGAAAAATAAATAAATGCAATAAATAAATAACAGTAAAAATAAAATAAAATAAAGTAAAATAAAACGGCATAAATAAATAAACACCAGATGGAAGAAGCGAATGTAAAATGGGATGTGGCAAAAATCATTAAAACAGTCCAATCCCCAACCATTGCATTAGAAATGGAAAAGATGGAAATATATAAAAGTAAAATAAAAAACCTTGCCTAAATGCCAAGGATGCTAATGTGCTTCCAACAGCATGGAAGTACATGATAGAAAAAAGCATGGGAATTAAAAACCCTTAAAACTTGTAATAGTTATACTTAGCCTTGTATATGGTGTTTATTTATTTATGCGTTTTATTTTATTTTATTTTATTTTTATTTATTTATTTTTCATATACACAGTTATTCTAAATCTTTAAATTTTAAAAATGAAACTTATTCGAAAAATGTTATGTTCTATTTTGGAACAATAATCATAACCCTGAGGATGACCTATAATAAATAGGTGAAAACATTTGAAATAAAATAATTTTATGCTTGGCAAAAATTCAGGCGTGTTGTTATAATTAATTGCAATTGCTGAGAGAAAGATGGATAGGTTGAAAACTGCTGCTCTAAAATATGCAATCTGCAATAAGAAATTTGAGAATGATAGGAAGTCTTACCTGAAGTAAACAAATAGCTAAAAGATAAACCTGCAGAATGATACTGAAAAAAATACAGGCTTACATATCGTGGTTAAGGCCATAGATTTGAAAGAAGACTATGTGAAAAAATAGATTAATGAATTCAAAGAATTAGGAAACAATGCCATATATATAAAATAGTAATAAAACAAACTTTGAATGAGAAAAAACGTGTGTTGCATTATTTATTGGGCACTCTCATACTTGAATAGTCTGTTCTAGTCATTATTTAATTTGATGGATTAATATAAATATTGTAAAGTTTCTTAAACTTTCTGAACCTGTCATCTCCTAAACTGATAAATTAATCTACTTACCATATAAAAAAAAATCTAATGATTTCTGCAAGTCAAATTAAATTTGGCATAAATAAATATGCTAAATATTTTTTAATTATATATTAATTTATACATCAAGAAAAACAACGACAAAATTTTCAGTCCAATTTTGTTAAAAATGTCAATATATGAAATGCAATGCAAATATATTTTTCAAAATAAATAAATTGTAATGACAGATTTTCAGATTATTGAAGGAAAAAAATCTGTATTTTCAAATCATAATTTGATGAAGAGTCATGACTACTATTTAAGAATGCCTACATTTAATGAAATCTCTCTCTTATTCTCTATAGAAATTTTTTTGAAAAAATTAACTTATATAAAGTATAACTTGACACTTTTCTTATATACAATCAACCACATAAACATTACTAATCAAACAATACATTAAATAGCTGAATAGCTGACTGGTTAAAAAACTTTTTCTAGTTTTAGTTATTATATAATGGCAAAAAGCTTAATTTTGAGTAAAAATGGATTTTTATAAAAAATTGTAAATGCTAATAATGAATAAAATTGTCATTAAGTCCAACCCCTACTCAAGATATGACACGATTCCCCTTTATCTCTCCACCCCCTCGACTTTTAATCACAAAAATTTAATAGCAACAATCCCCTAATAAACAAACCTCCCTGCAAAATTTCAGAAATTTTTGAAAAAATGCACAGGAGTTATTAAGCTTCAAACAGGGTGAACAAAATCGTGCCACACACACACATCCATACATACAGAAAAAACCCACATTTTTGCATTTTTTGACATTTAAGGTCCCAAGTCCAAAAATGTAAAAATCTGGGAGGGTCATTTTTGGACTGATAGCCATACTTTCCCTCTATTATATATAACAACCGGAAAAGTGAAAATGAAATGATACATCAGATTCATAATCTAGTCCAAACTGCTTAATATCTTATTAATTACTTAGCCTTATTTTAGTCCAATATGAATCCAACATATCATTTGATTATTAAAGATTAAATTCCTGAATAGCAATTTTTTTATAATCCAAAAGGACTAGTACTATTTTCCAAAAGCCAATACATATGATGCTCCAATGTACAGTATAATTATTGTAATTAGGCTAGCATAATTATATAAAAAATAAAAATTTATACCTGTTTTGACGTAAAAACACAAGCAATATTTTCTTTGATATTAGAGCATCCAGTTGTTGATAACAGTGTCATTTTCTTTCTTAAAAATAATTAAAAATAAAATTATTTAAACATGTATAATGATAAAATATTTAGTTTAAAATTTAAAAGGAAAAAAATCCTTATTAATCTAGCAACCAAATTCAAAAATTTACATTCTTTTTTTTTTATAGGATCTTTCTAATAAACACTAGTTTTTGTTGGTTGCTACACTGAAACCACAAATCTAAAGTCAATGTAACTGGCAGATAGGAATTCAAAAACTTTGGGAGACTGTCCTATCATTGGCATTAATGCTTTGAAACAACAGTGACTAAAGGAATGTTTATAAAGTGAAACGAGTTAAATGAGAATGATGTCATTGTTATCAGTGGCGTACCGTAGTGGGGGTGGCAGGGGCGGCACTTTTTAGGGGGCGGCAAAATTTCACAATAAATAATAATAATATCTTGTAAAAATTTGAAACATCCTAATCTACATTTGCATCACGCCTATGATAGTGCTATCGTCCGGATAGTCCGGGAGTCGGTTCGCTGTCTGGGTGAAGTAGTAATTTTTTTCATCTGAGGAAATTCTGCTTAACCTGTTCACCTGTTTTTTTTTTTGCTTGTACGATTCATTCGCGTTCATATACACCACTAATATCCATTAGAGCTATTTTAAGCAGGTCGCTGCAATAACACGCAATTTTTCATTGCTTGTTCTGTGACAAAACTGAATTTTAGTCTTTTAAATTGAAATACCTAAATAAAGGGGGGTGAAATTTTCCTCTGCCCCGGGCAGCTGACATCCACAGTACGCCACTGATTGTTATTCTTCTTTTGTTGGACATTATGACTGATTTGTTTACAACAATATCTTCAGACCACTAATCCTCTTCAGCTTCCAGCAAAACATGTAAAATATAGTTGTTACTGTGAAAGATCGAAATTAGAGAATGTCGATATTCTCTGGTGAATGTCGACACATACAAAATACGTTGGTGAAAGTCCGAATATTTGGTTATATTATTATACATTCAAACAATCGCCGGTGTATGTTGACAAGCACAGATAAGCTTTGCTGGAGGTCGAAATGACACCCGAGAAGCCGATGTCGACAGAGAGGCGACAGTCTGTCGCCAAATCCTTTGTGGGTAGCCAGAGGTAGGACAAGGTTTTTTGAACCCGTCAGGTGGGGATTGATTTGTCAGGTCGATTGGCAGAGGATGAGAGGGGTCGTTGGTAAGGCATCAGCAATATCTGAATAAAAGACACCATTAACAGATCAGTTCGTAATCACGTAATAACATAATCAGTTTTTAATTTGTAAAGAAAAGTTACTTTCCATAGATGAGATTTCTTCTCAAGAAATATCGCTGAGAGAAGCAGCTGCAGCTAATTCGAAAAGTGGAGGGCAAGGCTATACACGCTGTAATTGCAAAAAAGTGTTCCACAAATAAATGCAGTTGTAAAAGCAAGGGACTCTTGTACAATTCAAAGTGCCATAACAGCTTAAGTTGTTGCAATAAATAAGATTGTATAACATTAATCACATAATTTATGTGTAAGTTTATTATTGTATTATTTTCTTTAATGATTAAGAATGTACTGTTCGTTTTAGGTTCAACAGTATATTTACATGTGCTGTTACTTAAGCTTTCTCCTATTTTGACATATTAAAAAGTTGCATTTTTGTCTTAACGTAATAAAAATATTTTTATTCAACCTTTACTGAATGTCAACATTTGACGGTGTAAGTGAGAAATAATGATATTTAGCAAATATTTCGTACATACATGAAACGACTGTGTGAATGCTGACATTCACCAGAGAATGTTGACATTCGCCAGATATCAGTCATTCACAGTAACATAGTAATTCACAAATGTTTTCAAAATCCACCTGATTCCAGCTTCAAGTTTACAGAGTTTGTTTTGAATTCAAATGCATCATTTCATACCATGGCAGACATGGTGCAAATCATCATTATAACCATGCGTGATGTAGTATGGTTCAATGCATGTCTTATACTGGCCTATTCAAATTTGAATTCTGCATATGCATTCTATTTGATGCATTCCAATTCAAAACAAACTCAGTAAACCTGAAAATGGAATTAGAAGGTTCTGAAAATATTTGTGAATTGCTAGATTTTACATTTTTCTGGAAGCTGAAGAGGTTTAGTGGTCTAAAGATATTATATGTTTCCAGTGCTAGTGAAGTACATTTTATTGTTTACAACAAACTGGCTGTTTCTAAAATCAAAGTTGTAAATGCTACTAGTGCATTCTTATCTTAAATATTTTTCTTAGATTGCTTAATATAGGCAGTTATTTGTATCATTTCACCTTTTCATCAACAATCTATACAGAGTAAAATTAGAAGCATTAATATCACCAGACACCATTTTATTCATGATCTAAACTAACTCTTTTCCTTATGAATTTCATTAGAGTTTCATTTGAATCATCATCAACATCAAGATTGCACACTGAATGGAATTTGTTCTTCATGATTGACTCATTAGAAATTTATTCAACATTGATTTATCCTCCTTCTTGTATTTTTTTTTTATTAATTTCAACATGTAACCAGTTCAAATTTTGTTATGCAGAAATAACACTTTTTGCTAAATAAAGTATTATGTTAATGTAATTTTTTTGTTATTTTACATAATTTAAACATAATATACAGTAATAACATAATGTAAATATAATTTTAATTTTAAGTAAGTTTACATTTGTGTGTTAAAATACTTACAAGNGTCAAGATATTAATAACCAACAGTCTCCAAAAGCTCATGCCAAAGTACTGTACATTGCACTACCTGCACCTAGCTAAGATCGACATTGATATGCACTTAAAATTTTATACATGAGGCATATACATTGTCTATATAGCTATGTATAAATAACAACTTTCACTTTTAAATTTTTGATAAAACATAACTAATTCAAAAACAAAACAAAAACACAAGTATAGGTAAGTAACTTATATGTATTTGTGATAATTCATTTTTTAAAATAGCTACTGTGTTTTATTATATTATTTACATCGTTATTGTATTAGCTCATTTAGTATATTTTGTTTTAAATTTAAATGTAAAAGTGTTCAAATGTTTTGTCGTTTAAATGTTAAGTTAAAATACATTTGAATTTTGGTTGCATCTGAAGATGGCCTATCATATTGGATCAAAAATGTTAATGTTTGCATAATAAATATTTCTCAGCATCAGGTGTTTGATGATTCATTAAGTATTTTAATGAGCTTGAGTATATTTAGTTAGTTAGTTGCAGTAAACTATGAATAATTTGAAATGCCTCTATCATTTTGTCATTTGTTGATACTTTTGTGTGTTCCTTATTATCATCATCATCCTCATCTTGGTTTGTTTAGTCAGTTTGGTTACTGTTTAAGGTTTCCAAATTTCATCAGTAGGATACTCAGTAATACTGACGTCTTCATCAATGTTGAGATAATTATCCAGTGTAATATTGTTGGTAATTTTACTGAATTGGTATAATGCTTCCCATAATTTTTGTAAATCCAAAAGTGGTAATTCATCAGCTTAATCCATTCACCGAGTTTTCATTAAATCTTACTTTGGAAAACAATTTTTTATAGTGATTTCAGTCACTTCGTGAGTCCACACTTTTCATAGCTCAGAAATGCATTCATTTAATTTTGTCAGCAATATTGTTTTCAACTCCATTAATCATCTTCATTAAAACTCTCTTACAATAATGGGATTTAAGGTTTTTGATTATACCTTGATACATTGGCTGAAGTTTTGATGTTAAATTTGGAGGAAAAAGAAATACTCAATACTTTTAAGCCTTTTTGCAACTGCAGAAGGATGTGCTGGACAGTTATGTACAACTTACATAATTTTTATATGTTCTCTTGTCATTTGTTTGTACAGTTTTAATAACCAAGCTTCAAAAATCTGACTAGCCATCTATTGCTTTCTTATTAAAATGATAACATACTTCAAGAGACTACATCTCTTTTAAACATCACGGATTTTTGCTTTTTCTGATCACTAACAGTTTCAACTTTTCACTTTCTATCATAAGTGCACCAATTAATATAGTGATCCTTTCTTTGCTCTGCTTTCTATCAAAGCATTATCATTTTTAAAAGTGAGTGTTCTATTGGTTGTACACTTAAAGAAGAAACCAGTTTCATGTACAGTACATTGAAGTGTCCTTTGGCTAGTATTTTTCCAAAATCCATTTCAATATTCCATTTTTCTACTGATTGCAATCTTTTTCATTAATAGTTGCATTTTCACCACAAACCACTTTTTCAACAATGCCATGCCGTTTTTATCCAGCCAACCAGTGCTCATCTGAAAATCTGTAAATCCAACTGAATATTCAAGCTTTAAAGCTTTTCGTTTAATTAGTGATCCTGATAGTAGTACATTCTTATTACAAATTAAATATATCCACTTTAAAATTGCTTCATCTACATCAATGTAAACACAGGTTCTAGTACATTTTGCATCATCAACTAATTTTAAAATTCATTCACAATTTTTTATTATGATTGATAAACTACTCGCAGGAATTCCAGACCCTCCTGCAATGTCTTTCTTTTTTTTGAGCTTTTATTAACTTCCCACAGCACATTAATTTTTTTCAGTAATGCTTAAACACTTTCACTTTGACATTTTTGAACTACAGTATAAAACTGTCCATTCTGAAACCTTAAGTTAAAATAGGGAATTGAAATGCAACTTTACAATTTTAAAGTTTCTGAGAATTCTCATACACAAATTTAGGAAAGTCTCTTTGAACTTTACATAGCATTGAATACTGTAAAACGATTTAGGTATGACTCATCTCAGCCACTTGCACAGGTAAGACTGCTTTCTCAATTAAATACAATAAAAAATGTCACCAATATCCATATTCATTGTAAAGGCTGCTCTAATTTTTTGACAGGGAGGCATTTCCAAAAGAGGCAGCATAAATGAAATAGGCACAAAATTAATCCATTATACAGTTCAGTACAATACTATTATGAAGTGAATAGGAATATGTTTGAGATCATTCAAAAATTTATAAAGTACAGTTTTTTTCCAATAAAAACATGTTAACCATAAGTTACAGTATTACTAAGATATACTGTACTGTACAGTATTGTAATACAGTAACTAAAACGTTTGTTAATTGTAAATCATTTATATTCAAATGTCCTTGTTGACACAAAATGCCTCTCTCCCTTCTTTACAACTGCTGGCCATGTGGGGGGCAAATTACATAATGGTTTAGAAGCTAATGTCCAATATTTCTTACACCTTAGCCACAGTTTTTCAAAGGATTTACAGATCAATACCTGAAATTGAACCTAAATTTGAACTCAACCCATTTGGAGTAATCAAGTTCAATGATCAATGGTCCTTACAAATTATAAAAAAGTTGTTATACAGAAAAATTTGCTATATAGAAGTTTGTAATATGGACTTGTGTTTGACTGTAGTTAATAAATAATAGATGATGACTGTAGTACTTTTAAGATTGTTGAACAAATTCCTGAGTTGTGGTACATTATTATTAGAAATCCTTAGCAATAAAGAATAATTAATTACATTAAAGTTATTGTAAGTAAAGCTGATAAATTGTTTGTGGAATCAGACCTATTAGAATTGGAAAATCATAGATAGTGAAGAAATTAAATTCAATCAAACATGATATGAAAAAAAAAATTGACTGCTGATTGTAATTTAGTTCTAATAAAAAAAAAAAAAATTGATTATACTGAGAGAAGAAATCTTTAGAAAAATTTAATTTGTTTATAATTAATACTCATATAAAATTTATATTTGTATATTAGTAAATGTACAGGACCTTTCAAAATTTGCATACTATTTTTCATTGAATTCTCCTTATAAACTATGTATGCTTTTTCACTGTATGTGTGTTCAGTAATCTTGGAAAAATATTTTAATATGTGCTTCATTGATATCCAGGACCATTTGTAATTGATATTTAAAATTTTTCATAACTGATTTGTATCACAAGAGATCTGTGATACAGATCATTGTTGTTAAAAATAAAATCACTGTTGTAAAAACTGTGAATGGTTGCCCCAGTTATATCAGTAAAAAAAAAAAAAAAAGGATTGAGATTGGGCATGTGATACCCAGGCCTATGAACAGCTGAATTGTTTTCAAAACCAAGTAGACAATGTACTGGGCTTAAAATGCTCATTGAGAAGATCTAATAGTGCAGCCCCATCTTGATGCTAAAACATTTCTCTGAAATTGATATTTATTCTTTGGAAGAAAGGAATAAACTCAAATTTTACTCTGTAATTCAGAGTAAAATTTTTGTTGAGGGACATTAAATTTGCACCATAATAACACTTTTTGGATGATAAAATTATTTCATAATAAACACACTGTTATTTGTCTATACTACCTTGAGGTACGGTACACTTGTAAAATCAAACAAGTTAGAACAGTGTGTTTATTATGAAACAATTTTATGTAAATGAAAATGGCGAGACTGCAATAGAAGAAGAATTTTGCGTTCTGCAGTTTGCAAACTTGAAATAACTCATCACATTGTGCAAAATGAGTAATCTGCAGGATCTGTAGAATTGTGGCTGCTGTGGGAAGAGTGAGAACAGATATGCTGTAATGAGCGTAAGAATTTGAGTATTGGTTGAATGTGTGCCATGTGACACAAGGTGCATGCATTGAGAAATTGTAATGGACATATGTGAAAGTTGGACAGTTAATGTACATTACAACATTCTCAAATAATAATTAACATAATTATGATAGTCTAAAATGGTATCATTCTTTTTGGAAGACCCTCCATATATATTTATATATAAAACATTTTTTAACATTTTTTTAAAACATATTTTTCTTACAATTTTTTAATTTAACATTAAATTTCTTTGATACCTGAATATTGCTAAGTTGAATTTTTCTATTAATGGTTAGGGAAGTTGAGCTTATTAATAAATAACAAAATTATTTTATTAGACAAGTAATAATCAATTACTTAAATTCATGTAATAACTAGTTAATCATTGCATGAAGAAAAATTGTAAACTTTAACATAAATTTCATATATTTAAATATTTCTGGAATTTATATTAAAGAATTTTAAGTATTTACAAAGAATATATATATATTAAAAATGCTGCATTTAGAATTATATAATATAAATTAAATAAAATGCATTTAATAGTAATAATATGAAGACATACATACCCATTTAACAAATGATTAATGCAAGATAATCTAACATTGGTACAAATTAGACAATATGCTGTTATTAACTGTATCATTTTATTAAATTCTCGCCGTAAATTATTCATAAATTCTTTATGTCTTACAGGCAAAGTAGCAAATAGATGTTGCACACTTACTGTTGTACCAACCTGTCACACATTTTTAAAAGTAAAATATATTTTTTAAGAAAAAGAGTAATATTTATATGAAATAATGGAAATAAAAAACAAAAATACTTGTCTTGGTACTGGTGACTGTTTTATTAATAAGCCACTGTGATCATATTCTAATCGAGTCCCGACAGTTACCGTTTTAGAACGCGTTGTTATTGTTATATTGCTGCAATTATAATAAAAATTTACATCAAAGAAAAGCTTCATTCTATGAATCACAAAAATTTTTTCTGATTTTTAGATTTTTCTCACTATTACAAATTTTTTTTGTTAGTACTTTCATATCCTCCCTTTACTTTTCTTCAGATAATTCATTTACTTTCAAATATTTTAAATTCAAACATATTCATTTTTTATATTTTTATATATATCAATTTCATGCTTCATGCATTTAGATTATCATCTTCATTTCTACACATTCTAATGCATGATGTAATACACAAAGCAAGGGATAAAGAAATAAAAAATTTAAATTTAAAATATCTGAATATAAATGAATTCTTTGAAGATAGACTAAAAGATTTGAAATTAATAAGAAACATTTTCATATTCCAAACTTCAAAAAGTAGATGTAAGTAGAATTTGATATAGTAGAATCGGTATAATTCAATTATATCAAATTATTCATTATTATTATTCATAAATTATAATATCTAAATAAATTAATCTGTATAGGATGCATAATAAAGTCTTTATACACCTACATAACTGACGAATGCAGATAGCTACAGTTACAAATATAATGTGAAGTTATAGTAAAGTGACCATGCACTACAAGATGAGACTATTTGCAATGCCCCTAATGGTGAAATTCAGAAGTTAGCACTCTTATCTCAAAAGTGATGTATGATATAAAAATGTTAATTAGAGAGTTGTAAAGCATGACCACTTTACTATATAACAATACCTTGTATACATAATATAAAATGCTAATTTGTCAGTATTTGATTCTGTCAATACCATATCATTAATTGCATCACAAAGCAGCAAATTGTGAGAAATATGGACAGAATATAAAATACAAATTTGTATTCAAAACAACTTCTTATTGCTTGTTGGAATAATGTGCCATGTCTACATCTAACGTACAGTTTCACTTCCCATGTTTTGTGATATAGCATTGATGGGAATCAAATACCAACCGATTAGCATTTCACACTTTCTATTCATGCTATTCATATACACAAGATGTCCATTTGTACTAAATTAGTCATATTCTACAAATATAAACATCTTTACTAAACCCAATATGTTACAATAAATCTACTACAGCTGCCATATGAGAATGGGCTAAATAATGGCTATAATAATTTCATATGGCAGTTGTAGATTTATTGTAATGTATCGAGTTTAGTAAAGAAAGATGTTTATATTTGTGTATATATATATATATGCCTTGTCAGGCTGAGTGCCTTATGTGAGAGTTTACAGGACGAGGGTGCTGAATGCATTCCCAGTTGGCATTGAAATAACCAGCAATGGTTATATCATAATGTTAAATATATTGGAAGAGGATATTGGACTGAAGGTCTGGGTAGTGTAACTGGCAATGCATCCGCACAATAAGCTGCAGTTGTGGGTTTGAGACCCGCTCTGGACCAATTCTTTTCTTCCAGTTTAAATCTAAAATTATTTAATTAAATTATAATTATTAAATTTAATAGGAGATGGTGCTTATTGCCTCCCTTTAGGGTTAAATTTATTTGTAATTTATTTATAGTCATTATTTAGCCCAATCTCATACAGCAGTTGTATTTATCATATTCTACAACTTTGTAATTGACTTTTTTCCATATTGTTATCATTTTTGAGAAGGAGCGTGCTAATTTCAAAGTTTTACTGCTAGGAGTGCTGCAAGGGGCACACTATGGTAGCACATAGTCACTTTACTGTAACTATACATCCTGTTCATAACTGTAGTTATCTGTGTTCATCAGTTTCATAGGTTTACAAGGACTTTACTATGTATCCAATATTATCCAACTATTGATATATTGTCATCTTGTATCTTGAAATCAAAATCATAAACCCGATTTTATTCTCCTTGTCTCATATTCTGTAAAATGACAGTTTAATCAAAATTGAATGATCAAATTTTGAGAATGAGCTCAATTCTATAAGCCATATAGAAGACGTTTGCTAATGCTCCATTACCTGAGATGTGATATACACCAATCAATACTGTAACTGTCTGAGTTTCATCTCCCAACTGCAATCAAACACCAAACACCTTGTTGTCTACTATCTCTAGGAAGCACCACAAACAAAAATGGCAACTCTGTAAAAGAGAAGGCAATTTGTGTTCTGCAGATTCAAAAACTTTGAATCATTTTGTGTTCTTCTGGAACTGTTGATATCACTGAAGAACGTTTGTCTTACCTGATAGATCATTTTGAAATTGTCTGCAAAACTCATGTTGCCCAATAAGTAATTCTAATTTTGCAAACTGTGGAACACAAAATGCCTTCTCTGTTGCAAAGTTACCATTTTTGGTTTATGGCATTTCCTAGAAACAGTAGAGAAAAAGACATTTGAATGCACATGAAAGATGAAGTATTTATTGATTGGTGTATTATACATCACATACTTCTCAGGTAACAATTAACATAATTATAGTAATTTAAAATGATAGCATTCATTTCAGAAGACCCTGTATATAAAATATTAGCAATTATTAATATACCTCAATGCACAAAGGGAACTTAATGCTTCACCACGAAAACCAAATGTTCTTAAACTTGAAATATCGTGAAAATCTTTTATTTTTGATGTATAATGTTTCAAAGCTGATCAAAAGAAAACAAAATTAGTAAGTAAACAAATATTTACAAATAAAGATAGCATTTCATTAAATATATCATACTTAATTCTTTGAAATTCTTTTCCTTTACACCAGATCCATTATCAATAACTTCTATTAATTCACTTCCATATTCTTTTGTACGAACCTCTAAACAAATTTACTAATAAATTTATTTGTTATTTACAGTTTAAAATATAAAGTAAATTGCTTTACCAATATTAGTAGCTCCAGCATCTAAACTGTTTTCTATTAACTCTTTAACTGCTGAAGAAAGAGTTAAAATAACTTGACCAGAGCAAATATTATGAACACTGTCTTTATCTATTGCTTGAATATTTCCTGCTTGACTTTCATCCATATTTTATTTTTCATTCCATAAAATCTAAATTAAAATATAAATTAAATAATTTAAATATTCTTAGAATATAGATTGGATTGATGATATAAAGCAATACAATACATGGGTGATTTGCCAAGGAGAAGGTGCCTCACAGAAGGACTTTTATGGGAAACTGGCCTCTACTTAATTGTTAGACATACAAAAAATTTAAATTTTAATATATATTATTAAATTAATTTCTAATCATTAATCTTAACAAAACAAAGCAGCAAAATCACTGATCTACACATCAGATTTAATTAAACATTTGCATAAATCATAAATGTAATCTAAAATACCAGCAGTTTAAATTTGCAATATTTTTATTGTAAATTTAAACTGTTGAAATTTCAGATTACATTTATGCAGGGATTAGTGATCATGCTACCTTCTTAAGATTAGCAATTCAAAATTAAATAATTGAAAAAATACTAGGAAAAAAATTGAATCAGATTAAGACTCAAATGTTAACTTATGTTTACCATGTAAAGATATACCAGTTGCAACTCCAGTACAATAATATACACACACATTCATATAAATATATATTCTATACAGTCTGAAAATCTGGAAATTTTCAGAATTTTATATTTATAACTGAATAATCTGGACTTTATTACATTATTTATTTATATAAGATATTTATAAAATAAAATTTTAATAAATATATAAATAATTTTTAAATA